ATTGAGAAATTTATATAATTATGTCGTTCATACACTATTTTAAAATAAATACACGTTTTAAAATCCCATAACCCTTTCTACATAACAGTTTTTTTTTTTTTTTTTTTTTTTTTTTTTTTTTTTTTTTTTTTTTTTTTGTTTTTTTTTTTTTTTTTTTTTTTTTTTTTTTTTTTTTGTTTTTTTTTTTTTTTTTTTTTTTTGGGGGGGTGGGGGTTGTTTTGTAAAATTTGGTTGGAGCTATTTATATTTATTATATTTTTTTTTTCTATTACAATCATCATGTAAAATGATGTTAGTATTTTTTAGCAGTGCTTTTTTGTGAAGGATTTTGTTGTTGTTGTTAAAAATTCATTCAATTCAATGCTAACTTTGTTAATCACACAGGTCATGTGACAGGCCATGACGCGCTATCATTGAACGTCATTGAAGGGTTAATGTGCACCTTTGAATATGAAGTTCTGCTGCTAATTTGTTTTTTTCTTCTCTTCCTTGCTGAAATAAAATCATGCATGGCCTGGTTATGAATTTTTAAAGACAAGCTTTAACATTAGATCTTTCCTATCCCAAAACATTGGTTTGATCCGCGGTGAATTAATCTAATCTAACGAATGAAAGTTGAATCATTTAATACTGAAGCCACTGATGTCACTAGCAATAGAAGCCTGGATTATGAAGATTCATAATGTCATGATGGGACACCAGCGGTTCTCAAATAACAACGTGGCGATTTGTGTAGTTTTCTTGATCATTACTGCCTTGAATTTGATAACAAGATTTATGAATTTAAAGCTCAATCTTTGTTATATAAATATATTCAAAGAATGAAGGAAGTTGTTTTTGTTGTTTTTTTTAATTTAAAAAATGAATATTTAACTTCCTGATAAGTGTTGGTGTTTGTAACGATAATCTTATATAGTTATAGTTAAATATCTCAGCTGATAATAAAGCAGAACGTCCTATATGAAACACTGTGTCCATTTTCCCTGAGTATTTCCTATCTGTGCTGTACAGCTGATGTGTATACAATCCAGGGCGGCACCAGATAACACCGAGAGCAACCACCATTGCCGTTTACGGTGGTAGAATATGGAAGGGTGGGTCAGGGTACACATCTTTCATTTAGAATCCTTACAAGAATTATACAAAATTATCTTTTTGAGAATATTAGCCATCCCAACCAGTGGCGTAGCTAGGGTTGGTGTCACCCGGTGCAGTAAATTCATGGTGCCATCCCCCCTCCCCGACTTCCACGATGGATTTCTCCTTGTTAAAATAAGTCCACAGTATAACAATGACAAGAAATAGAACGCACAAAAGTTGCAGTTCAGGAGGTCAAAGGTCAATGTATTTAAGAACTGTAACAGCGTTACGTTATCATTATTTTGACATTAAATTGACTTTATGAACATTTTTCCTTTCCTGGTTTTCAAAGGTGCAAACCTGTCAATCACTTGAGCAAAATCAATATCCTTCACCGTTTCTATTTTAATTGATATTAGAGCCAGATCAAAATGCCTTGACTGTCCCATGTTGGATCGTAAATAGTTCTTGATAAGCCTTTATTTTGAAAAGCTTTGATCACATGAAGCCACATACACACAGATCGTAAGAAACAATTGAAGGCTTAGCGAGAGTACTGGAAGAGGTTCTAGGAAGTCTCATTCAGCTATGAATTTAAAAACATAAAATACTGACCAGTCCATGACTTTGGGAAATTCAATATCAGCTGCCTTTTGATGTCTTCTAAGCCTTAATATTTATTTTAAAAGCTCATCTTCTGATCTGATAATCCAAAGAAAGAGGTTAATTTTGGAACGGAGATCAATAACTCTTCTTCACTAGCTGATAGTAGACTCTTGCGTTGAACAGCCCAAAACATATTATAATCTGGTACTTACTTGATCGTAGATGATCTGATTTGGGGTTCAGAATGAAAGCTCCAGCATCTACATACTGTTTTCTTCAGGCAGAAAGTGTCCAGCATCTATTAACTGTTCTCCTGCCATTCTCTTCTTAAACCTAAATCTTCTTTCTACAGAAATACCATATTTGTGTTACTTTAAAAGTAGCATGGTCCACCAAGTTACAGCGCTTCTCTTGGAGAAACAATCTTGAGGCCTCTAGGTTGAAGACCTAGTAGATGAACCAAAATGGAAATGGAAATGTAGCAGATAAACGTGTAAAAGACAGCATGTAAAAGACCTTGTGCTGTATGACAATAGTGCTCAAATGTTAAGGGGCGTTGCTAGGAGCGGTGCTAGTGGCGAATCGACGAAAATATTTATTTTTGAGTAGTTCTTAGTTTTAATATATTTTGAAAACCAATTTTTACATTTAAATAAAAGATATTAGAAAATTTTGTAAAATATTATTTTGTTAACTCTATAAATGGGGAAAGTGTAATTTTTGAAGTGTTTAATTTTTACCGATTCGATTAATGTACTGAGAATCGCTCGACCACATCGTATTTGGTATCAATGGAACGCTTTATTTATCAGAATTTAGATAAACATAGCTTCCTGTCACTTACAAAAGTTACCGAATGCTTCAATCATGGTCAAAACAGTGTTTTTCTGACCTCATTATAGGGTCACCCCATTTATGATACATCAACCTTGAACTTTTAATAAAGCACGCATGTGGATTGGTTACGTGTGTGGAAAATTGACACGGTTATCCTTTTACGAAATTCGATTAGACCGAGCTGGGGTTTTTTTCTCTATAAATATGCGATTTTTCATTTTGGTGTCACCAAATGCGGTCCGCAACCCCCTACCGACGCCACTGAGATAACGCAAATATATCTTACCTGAATTAATACATGTACACTTATGTCCTATTTTAAACCAATTGTAATGGGAAAACCTTTAAAACATAACTCCTTTGTATGTGCGAGTGATTGTTGCAGAGGGCTATCTCTGGCATGACTAAAACGGTACTTGATGGAATTTGTCATAGTTACGATATTTATAATGCTTGTTATAAGAAAAAAAAATAGAGAGAAGTCCTTTCAGTTATTAAATGTAATACACAAGGATCTATAGGGGTATGTGGAAGCTAATTGAAATCATTGTTTAGTTTTTGTACAGTTGACTCCCCAGGCCCGTGCCATAGGTCGAGGTTGGAAGTCACCACAACATGAGGAAATGTTTTAAAGGGTCACGGCATAAGGGAGGTTGAGAACCACTGATCTGGTCGATGTTTTACTCTGGGGGCATAGTGGTCGTGGCTCTTTGTCCCAAATAATTGCGTCTTAAAGTGGTTTATTTCTAATGATATTTATTTTTTCCCGAAGCGTTTTTTTTTTTTTTTTTTTGGGTAAAGGCGTTCTTTTTTTAAACTTCTAATACATTTACAATAAATTTTATTTCTAATGATATTTATTTTTTCCCGAAGCGTTTTTTTTTTTTTTTTTTGGGTAAAGGCGTTCTATTTTTAAACTTCTAAGACATTTACAATAAATCTTTCAGCTCGGGTGACGCCAAAGATCGCCAAAAAGAAAAACACTTCTTTATTTTATTCTAATTATTTTTAAAATCTAAAAACATAACACTTTAAGAAACTATTTTTTTTTTTTTTTCAATTTTTACGCGATTTAACTGCTTGGTTTTTTAGGAGCATTCTTTTGCTGTGAATTTTAACATTTTATTTATTTATTTAAAGGCTTTCTTCGACACGTCACGTGAAGTTGGGAACAGTTTGAAAACACCTGAGAAGGGTTCTCCTGGTGCATGGGGTAAACAGGTGCAGCCCGGAAACTCAAGAAACCGTGTTTATCTTTCTCCGCTCAAATTTCTAGATTTGCTGAGCGACTGCTGACAAATAAAAATTATCGTAGGAAGATACGAAACATTTCAGAGGAGACAAGCTATATTTTTTAATGGAGACTGCACGGCGAATGAGTTATTTGCAACTAGCAAGATTGAGTGACTTCCAAATAGAGAACAAGACAAGTCATCATTACATTAAAAAAAAACAAAAAAACACATTAATTCATTTTATTAAATTTGTGTTCGTTTAACGAACAGTTATTTTTAAACAAATTATTTTTGTAATTTTTTTCTGACTTGCCTTTTGATAAATCATTGGAACGCTTGAAAAATAGTTCAAATAAAAGCTAAGATAACAGCAGGGAAATTCTATACTTATATTTCATGTTATGTAAATTTGTTTTTGAATTGCCAAATAGAAGTGTTGGCATACAAATACAGCAATAATCTACATCGTGATGGGATGATTATTATGAAAACAGATTTTTATCTTAACATATCTTTACTTCAAATTCAAATCTGTATTTTTAGATATTCGTGACATTTATCAAGACGGTAGATCCTAAAATAAATAAAAATTGTAAAAAGATTCATAGCTAAGGTAAAAATATCGGCAAAACTGTGGTAGTTAGTTTTGTTTGTCTATATTGGAGAATTCAAACTGAAGAGTTCGCAAAGGGGCTGTAACTGTATTGTTGAGCTATTTACCAAATCAGTTGTTATTTTTTTTTTTTAGATAACTGTTTATTGTTGTTTTTTCCCCACTATAATTTTTTTTATTGGACATTTTAAAAGAATATTTCTGAGACTACTAGATAACCCTGTATTTGGTTTATTTATAAACCACATGGAAAAACTATCTTTCAAAAAACCTTTTACCAAACCTGCAGAACAGTTTAAAATGTCTCCATTTTAATGCATACTTAGAAATTAATTAAGCATATATAAAATACTTTTAAGACTTGCTACTCATATTCCTGTACAAAAAAAAATAAAAAAATGTGTAGTTCATGAGGTCAAGTTCCATTTAATACATTTTTAATACTCAGTTTTCAAATTTGAAAATGAACTGGCAACAGCCATTTAATAAATATGATAGTGAAGGAGCCAGGCAATTAAGGCAGGAATCAGGCAATTAAGACAAAGGAAAAATAAAAAGGAAACAAAACAAAGTGCTTTATTTGTTTACCATTTATTTCATCTGGTTGTAAATGTAAACATTTACTTTACTGGACGGCTAATAATTATTTTTAAAAATACAAATATTATGAAATTATTCATTTTACTGAAGTTAGGATAATTATATTCAAAGATCGAATACATTGTTATAATGTAAATCTCAAATTTTAATTACTAACTATGAACCGTTAACAAGAGAAGTAAGAACAGAGAAGGTTCAACACCATTCTCTAAATATAACATACATGGAAACACAAATTAAGTTTTAGGATATAGAATATACATCCTTGACTAAAACTACCTTCAAATTGTGCGTTTTTTTTAAAAAGCATGCGCCACATTTAAAAAAAAAACAAAACATTTCTGTCACCAAAAAGATCATTTTATTTATCACAGTTTGCTTTTAAAAAGATTTAACAGTATCTGGTATTTTTTAGAAGAAACATTTGTTAGGTCTTAACCTACTAACACAAAAGCCAATGTCAAAAATGACCTCCTACCATGTACAGTTGGCCTTCATATTTGCCACATTTCTGTCTTCATCAATGTTTGGGACAAGAATATATTGTCACTTAAAATAATTGTCACATAAAAATTAGTATTCTGTAGTCATCTCTTCGACAACCAAAGCTTTGAAATGAAACCTCCATTTTCCAGAATACATTTGGGAGTCTTCATTTCATCATGTTGAATTAGACTTAAACATCTCGGATCAGGTCCTCAATGGCATCCCAGTCAATAACACTTAAAACACTTCCGCTGCCGACTGAAGCTGCATCAGCGATGCGTTCAATTTCATGAATGTCAACAGACGTACGATAATCCCCAGCACCGATTTCATCACTGTCAGTTGACCTGGAAATATTGTTACAGGATAAATATCATTTGGTGAACTTTTTAAAAATGTTAAGAAATATTACAACTGAGGTGACAACAAAAATTAGAATTGGCAAAATTTATATTTGACACTTTGGGGATCTTAAGTTGCATAACATAGGAAAAATAAATTACATAATTACACTTGGCTTTTGAGAAAAATAATTTTTCTAGATTTTTGAGGATTTATAGAAATCTTTGTACCTGAAAGGTTGCCTCCCTCGCATGATGGCATCAAAATAATCCGATTGATTCTCTGATGGGGCGAAGTGACGTGCATCCCCTCCAGACCGACTCATGTCCAGCTCATCAACCTGTTTAAAAATTATATATATGTGTAATTAAATATAATCTTTAATCCACCTTCGATAACTAGAAAAAATTAGAGTAACCCAGTTTTGACAATCACCAACAGCTAACCATAGAGTATTTAAAACAATGTTTTTTTTCAACTGCCAATATAGGTATTAATCACCCTCGCATTTTGCAGCTTAAACGCCCCATTTTTTTCTCTAAAATATTCCCAAAAACCATCTAATGCATCAAAGCACCTATGGCAACAAAATATGGTATTCAAACAAAAATAATTATCATGTATACTTATGTCAGCAAGGGAATTTGTTAAATTTTGATCAAAACAATTTAAATATAAATGAAAAATAGTTCTACTTCTTTTCCTATCATTACAAATGTCAGCAAGCAATGACTTAAACCTAGTCTAAAAAAGTGAAATATTAAAAAGTAATATATCTTATTTGGATAAAAAACATTCACATTCATTGCTGCTCCCGTAAATAAATAATTACTCACTAGGAAGGCCACAGAACTTGTCACAGTTGAGCCCCCATAAATAATATTGTGCACATTTTCATCCATTTCCCAGCCACTAAGCACAGAAGCAATTTCTTCATAATCCATATCTGAGTATGGGTCATTGTAGGGCCTGGCCCTGGCTTGGTTACGGGACCCAGAACTGTGCACAGTTACTGTGAAGATAGATGTGTGATAGATTAGGGAAACTGATTAAATAAATACCAAAGGATCACAAAGATTGCATTTTAAAAAAAATTATATTGATTGTGGAATTGGTGAAACCTGAATGCTAGGCTTAAAACTGACATTTATGTGCCCTAGTACATTTCCATCCCAATAAAATATAAACTAAAGTGATGTTCACAACCAATCAAATATCTACTAAACTAATATCCACACAAATCAAATATCTACTAAAGTGATGTTCATAACCAAACAAATATCTACTAAAGTGAAGTTCATAATCAATCAAATTTCTATCTACTAAACTAATGTCCACACCAATCAAATCTCTACCAAACTGATTGTTTTAGCTTTGTGCTGACCTAGCTTTTGTCCACCACATATCTCCCCTGATAAAAAAAAAATTATTTATATTGACATAACCAATTGAATGTGTAGTGCTCTGCCACTAGTGTAACACCCTTCTTTGATTGGGAAAAGGTTGTTGGTGATCTAATTTGTTCTAAAGCAGGCCTGTACAACATGCTGCCCGCCAGCACCCACTTTGCGTCCTGCAAAGTAACAAAATATTCTTAGTAAATATTTTTATTATTTTCGTAATAGCTTTCCCCTTGTCCTATTTTCTTTTAGCCTGCACAAGTTTTTCATAAAGTATTACGGCCTGCCTAAAATTTTGATTTGTGCAGGCCTGTTTAAAAGAATGCTAGCAGGTGATGCAATGTCTAGAATTTCTTTTCTGGAGGGTTCCAGCTTCCTCCCTATAAATAAGCAGGTAGTTTTCCCAGCCAAGAGTGATTTGCTAGATTTCCTAGACACAAGAACATATTATTATACTTAAAGGGCCCTTACAGGATATTGCTCTTTGTGTGTGTGTGTCTATTAATATTTGTACCTTTTGAGGATTATACTTTTTCACATGCTGTGCTGTAAGTTAATATGGTTTTTATTTCTGTAGATTTGAATTAGTATTTTTATAAATTTAATAGTATAATTAAATTAAATATTGTTATTATCACTAGTTTTGGTATCATTTTCTTTGTAAAATGGTTTTCAATCCTTTGTCACATCTTGTTCAACAACTGAGCCAAATCTTGAAAACAGATAAAATTTGCAAAAAAACATCTAACCATACATAACACTGATGTTCATACAGATCAAACGACTTCTAAACTGATGTTCACACCAATCAAATATCTGTCAACTGACAACTACTTAATCCATAAAACATGACTACCATTTTTCTAACAAAACCTGAGTTTCTAAATCACGAGTTCTAGCTTTAGTCAGCCATGCAACCAAGTTTCAAAGATATATTTTTCCTATTTGACTTTATCCCAAAGGAGGAATCTGACCAAATTCCCTTTTTGTTGTCCCTGTGAAGCAATTTGGTTTAACACACAGATTTTAGATAGTGTCCATTTTTTTTTTGTCTACCTGTTGCATGCATAGGTGTTTTTGAATGAGAAATCTCGGCTGGGTGAGGGTGAGGATTTAACTCATGCAGTTGTTCAGCGTAAGTTTTTGGTTTGTGCAGTGGACCGTGAGAGCGCAAGAAGGTTCTGGTTGGGACAAATGTCTTCCTTGCAACTGTGAAAATAAATTAAAAAACATACTTATTTCAAATTTAAACCTCCGATATAGAAGTCACTAGACTTTAAAATTTGACTTGTAATGAGTCGAAGCATTATAACTGAATCTTGGAATATTTTTTTAATACTTACAATATCTTATTTTTCAAGGCTCAGACAGTAAAAATACTTTTGAACCAATATTGTTATTGAGTATTTCAGTAACAAGATTTTTAAATATTAATAATATTTCAGAAGAAAAAAAAAGATTTTCTGTAACACAATGTCCCTTAACACAGTGGTGACCAACCCTTTTGACTCATGGAACCCTTTTTAGAATAAACTACTTAGGAATAGTCTGTGTCTTTCAAGTTGATGGTGTTATTTTATTTCTTGGAGCTGCCATAAGGTCCCCTGGCTGGGAACCACTGCCTTAACATATCAAGTGAAGGTTTCACTGAGCGTACTAACCCTGTGAAGTCTTTTGTGAAGATACTGCTGCTTTTTGATGTAACTTCAATTTTTGAGGTGGTCCACGACGTGTGCTTCTTGGAGCTGTCGAAGTTGTACGAGCTGAAATTAAAAAGATACATTGAAGATATATATACAAGTGACATTTTTGTTCACAAAATATTTAAGAAATCAGTTTTTTGGCTGTTGGTTGACATGTTGGTTTTTACACTGGGCCGCCAACATAGTGAAGTCTCTAGCAATAATGTTCAACTTCTCAAACGCGTGGACCATCGACATAGTGAAGTCTCTAGCAATAATGTTCAACTTCTCAAATGTGTGGACCATCGACATAGTGAAGTCTCTAGCAATAATGTTCAACTTCTCAAATGTGTGGACCATCGACATAGTGAAGTCTCTAGCAATAATGTTCTACTTCTCAAATGTGTGGACCATCGACATAGTGAAGTCTCTAGCAATAATGTTCAACTTCTCAAACGCGTGGACCATCGACATAGTGAAGTCTCTAGCAATAATGTTCTACTTCTCAAATGTGTGGACCATCGACATAATGAAGTCTCTAGCAATAATGTTCTACTTCTCAAACGCATGGACCATCGACATAGTGAAGTCTCTAGCAATAATGTTCAACTTCTCAAACGTGTGGACCATCGACATAGTGAAGTCTCTAGCAATAATGTTCTACTTCTCAAATGTGTGGACCATCGACATAGTGAAGTCTCTAGCAATAATGTTCAACTTCTCAAACGCATGGACCATCGACATAGTGAAGTCTCTAGCAATAATGTTCTACTTCTCAAATGTGTGGACCATCGACATAGTGAAGTCTCTAGCCAATAATGTTATACTTCTCAAATGTGTGGACCATAGACATAGTGAAGTCTCTAGCAATAATGTTCTACTTCTCAAATGTGTGGACCATCGACATAGTGAAGTCTCTAGCAATTATCTTCTACTTCTCAAATGTGTGGACCATCAACACAGAGAAGTCTCTAGCAATAATGTTATACTTCTCAAATGTGTGTCAGAGATTGTTACTTAAATAAAGGTAGGCATACACTTCTCAGTCACCTCCTGAATTGTCATATAATTATTTCTCTCAGCAAAGATGACTGGAGAGAGTGAGATTAGCACTTTAATATATTGGAAGAGGAAGTCTTAAGAAGTCAATAATGCCTCAAGACATGGCTAGCCATAAAGCATATTTAAGAATAGGTAAGAAGGTAAATAACGGTCATCTTACTTTGCTTACAGCTTTACTTACCCGAGACAGGTTTTCTAGATACTGGTGCTGAAAACTTTCTGCCCGGTTTCATCTCCTGTAGACGTTCAGAATATGTCTTGACCCTCCGCGGTACGATCTTACTAGGTCCAGATCCAGGAATCTGTTTGGTGCCTTGAAAGAAAATAAGAAGATAGATTAATAAATATTTTTGTATGTTATGACAACAGAAATTCTTTTCAACTAAACAAAATGTTATCAGTGCAAGTTTTTATTGAGCTCATGGGGAGTTGTTTCTTATTCAAAATGTGATGTGTTTTCTATGAGGGTGTTAATGATAAATTACATTTCATATTTTAAAACAGGAAAATTTAAGACATTTCATGAATTCACTTGGCAACTGTGGGTTTATAATGTCCACCCACCAAAAATATCTCAATATTTTTCTATTTATATTTGAGTCAGAGATTTCCAAACCATCTCATAAAGAACTTCTAGCACTTAGCTCCCTTGTGTATCCTCTTGAGACATTAATACCAAACAATTAAACAATGTCACACAATCTCAAAGCTTTTCAACTAAATCCAATATTTCAATGATGATTATTTTGGTTCTGAAATTAATGAATATGCTAAGGGGAAATTACCCAGGTCTTTTGATTTGGGTTGAAAGAGGTTTGAATTCTGCCCGGTCAAAGATTTATTCAGTGCTTCCTGTCTGGCTGTCAGCCGCTCCTCTTCGTCCAGGATCTGCCTTTGACGATTTATTTCTTTCCACTTTCTGGTAGCTTCTGGTCTCTGCATGCGAACAACTTCTGCGTAGGATTTCCCTTGTCGTGCTGGGGATTTTTTAGAGGGCTGAGGTGAAGATCCTATCCTCGAACTTACAGCTTCTTCTCTTGGCTTGGGTTTTGTTGATGGTCTTCACATGAAACAAATTTAACATTAGTCCACAAAGCAAATTTGATGGGACATTTATTTCATAGATTAATTTTTGAAGCTGCTAAAAGCAGAAAGAAAATGGCAGGGAGATGTGTCAGCTTCTTCTTGGTCCCATCTGATGTGCAGCTCTGCAGTTCACTCAGCCATACAACAGGCCAGGCCACAAAGCAAAAGGTATGGAAGTAACACATTCAATTTTTAAATCGTCTTTTTATTTAAATTATGTTCTAACTAAATGCCCAACAAAAAAATGTACATGGAAATAAATTAACAAAGGGAAATGTTTTTAAAATATTTCCCTTCTACAGAAGTAGAGTTATATACTTACAGTAAAAATGACATGGTTGGTGACACGCGATCTTGGCTGTCCATCTCCAGCACATGTTTGGCGTAGCTGATGAGGTCAGCGCTGGAGTCCACACTCCTGTCCACCTCACTGATGGACGCTAACACAGGGTGGTCCAAGTACAGGTCAGCAGAGCTTGGCTGCATCTCTCGACCTGAGCCTTTCAAGATGCTCTTGACAGGAGTTGAGTCAGTTGACATCTTAGACCTAATGGCTTGAGGTGCTGGGTGAGACATAGAAACATTCAGTCAGCAGTGTGTGGCTGGATCAGTGGATGGTTAAACAGTTTTTCTACAGAGATTTATGGATTCAAGATTCCCAACTTTCAAATGACATTTTAAATTAAATTAATAATGAAGGTAAAAGTTTCCAAATGGTGACTCAGTTAAATTTTTTCAGCAAATCTAAATGTATTAGCCATCAAGGAAGATGGTTTTATCCCCTTTTCACAGCTCAAAAAGTGGTGTGTTTAAATGTAGATATGAATCTGTGTTTAACTGTAAATATGAATGTGTGTGTTTAAATGTAAATATGAATGTGTCTTTAAATGTAAATATGAATGTGTCTTTAAAAGTAATTATGAACATATTTCAATGTAAATAGGAAATGTTTGTTAAAAGCTGTCTCCTCACATCTACTTGATGACTCCGGCTTGTAGGACCAAGTGGCTGAACTTGCTGCTTTTCTGATGGGTGACCGTGACTTCCTGTATGCGCCAGACATGTGTCGTGATGGAGATGTGGTGGACGTGGAGCCCGGACGTTTGGGTGACTGTGTGGGTAGTCTCCTTGTTTTGGTCTCAAAGGCCAGAGCCCGGGACATGTCAGGCTGATCCACCATTATGCTCCCCATCAGATGCTCTGCTTCAATCAGACGCTGATTCATGAACTCAGAGGCCATGTGGATACGTTTCTCACTGTGCTCTGCTTCAAGGGTTTTCAGATTTTGTCTTGTGACCTGTGGAGTAATTATAGACAGTTTTATTGTCTTTCCAATAAATGGGACAACTTTTAAAAAGTAGAAAATTTCACTTTGCTAAACATAAGGTACTTAATTTCTTTGACCAACAATGATTGTCTTCCTCACAAATATTTAGGAATGAAGCTTAATTAGCTACAATGTCACAAGCAAATTGGGAATTACTGAGTACACACAGAAAACTTGGCCAGGTTATACAAAAAAAAAAGCTTAAGTAAGCTAGTTATAGAGTAAACCTGACATTCTTACAGAATAAATATGCCCTAGTTAAAGAGTGAGCCTGAAATAGTCAGGGAAAGAACCTGAACTAGTTTCAGAGTGAACCTGGCCTATTTAGAGAGTAAGCACAGTAAACCTGACCTAATTACAATAAACTTGACCTAGTTATACACAGCAAACTTGACACAGTATACACACTGTAACCCTGACCTAGTTAGAGTAAACCTGACCCAGGTGCAGGGTGATGCTGACCAGTCACCATGCCAACACTTACAGTTGACAGAGACTTGAAAGGTTTCGGCTCCCTCTCTATCAGCTCGCTCCTCCTCCTCTTGTACTCGTCCTGCCTCTGGTGGTACTTCTCTGTCATCCATTGCTTCAGTTTCTCTTTCTCAGCCAGACTTCTCTTCTGTAAGCTCTCTTCAGATCTCTCCATGCTGATCAGCTTGTCTCTAGGAGTCAGGCCTCCATATCTGATCAGCGTAAAAATTTATTGACATGGTAATGGGGGTGGAATGTAAAAATATTCATTGTTTAGAAATTATGTCATCCCTGATGTTAACATTAAAATTGGAACTGAATTTATTTTTATCAAAGGATTTTTTCCCCTCTTATAATATACTTAATCTGGTTCTGTATGCTTAACTATTTTATCCTCTTTGAAAACAAAACTTATTTATTAACAAATTTATAAAAAGATATTGTTATTTTTTTTGGGTGCTGGGTGGTCTAAACTGAGCAAATCTCAAGTTGGTGGTCTGGAGTTCAATTCCAGCTAGAGCAAAAACACCACGAGCACCCCGGGTAGATGGGACTCGTTAACCTTGGACGGCAACTCATCTAAGAGAAGGAAACTCTGAAATCAAAACCCGGAAATGGAACCCCGAAAGGCGGATAACATTGATACAATAAAACATTCCGACAACTCCTGCGACGTCACTGGTGCCAAGCTGTATCATCCAATGATGTTCACTTGGGTTACCCAGCGGCGTGGAGAGAGGCGATTTGCTGTTGGGAACCAGCTTATAATCCTTAAAGTATAATAATCCCAGGCTATGTGGATTTCGTCCTACGAGGCCCACTCCATCGTCACATTGTGACGGACGGATGCCAGTATAATAATCCCAGGCTATGTGGATTTCGTCCTACGAGGCCCACTCCATCGTCACATTGTGACGGACGGATGCCAGCAAAAAAAAAAAAAAAAAAATTGTTATATTATTCAAAAATGATTTTGTGAAAAGATATAACAAGACCTTCTAAATACTAAAACAGGGATTTCTGCCAGTGACCATTTGTTGATCAGACTGGTAACAAGTTTGTGTGGGAAAGGGATGGGGTGTAAGAAATACTTGTAACATTATACTAGTTAGTAACTTTTGTGAGTAAAAAGCCAGATTACTCACTTCTCTTTCTGAATTTTTTCCCTTGTATCCCTCTCCAACTGTAGAGCAATTTCTTGAGAAAACCCAGCAGTCTGCAAGTCAGCACCACTCTGAGCCAGCACTTCAGCAATCAGATCAGTTAGTTCACTTTCTGACTGACTCACTGCCTCTCTGCTGTAACGTAACATTGGGAAATGTGAACTCATCAAACTACATCATCAAAAATAAAAACTTCATTGGCATAGGGGAAGCAACTTTTGAAGAGTCTTCTCCACCTACCAAAATTTGTTTTAAAGCTTTCATCCTTTAAGAGATGAATAACTTGATCTTACGAAACTTAATCTTACAAAACGTAATCTTATGAAACTTAATCTTATGAAACTTAATCTTATGAAACTTAATCTTATGAAACTTAATCTTATGAAAATGTGTTAATCAAGTATGTAATCTTATGAAAATATAAAAATGGGTATAAAATATTTTACTAATGACTTCTGCCCTATGCAGTGAATGGTTATTATGAAGTGATATAATCAAAAAAGTATAATAACACTGACCTCTCGGTGGCCACTGTGCTCCTGGACTTGACAGATCTGGCACTCGCCTTAGGAGATTTTATGGAAGTCTTGGGTGAGGGTAAAGTAGGTGAACCTCGCTTTGAACATGTGATATGACAAATTTTATTTTTAACATTTCCAATCACTGTTGCAAATATATATTTGTTTTAATGAAAAAGAAAGAAATATTGATAAGACATAAATATTGATAAAAAATAAATATTGACAGTAAATAAATATTGAATTCCTGATGCATTTGAAAAATCACTACAATTAACTTGGCCTATGCCTATAATTAAGTCTTTTTAAGATTGGTAAGTTTTTTAGAATAAAAATAAATAGTGCTTATGACATATTGAAGTATGAATGTGAGGTTTTATACATTATTTTTAATAGTGACAGAACAGCATTTTAATTAGTGCTACCTTGAAGTTGAAGGCAATGTTAAAAATATTTAATACACTTTTAAAAAATTAAATTTAATGAACAACGGTACTAACCTCTTCTTCCTCATTCATGGAATATCTTATTTCCTTCTCTCTTTTGAACTTTGACCTATCCGGGCTAGGAGACCTTGACCTTTGTATGGAGGCATTGACATCTTGTATTGTACTCAGCAGCTGTGAGTTTAAAAGATGGCTATTTATTCTTAAGATTTCATGCAGTTAAATCAAGATCTGTTACCGGAAATCTAAATTCATACATATAAACAAATAAATACATATTTGCAATTTGTTGCTGTCAAGTGCTCAACAAATTTAATCATGAAATTATTCACATGTCATTCTTTGACATTGAGTTATTGAACATTGTTTTAGTAAAATAATATGTGTCTAGCAGTAAAATAGACAGCGGAGTACTTTTTTTAAAAAAATTACAAGATAAGTAGAAGTGGAGCAGTAAAATTTGACCAGTGGAGACAGATTGTAAAAAAAAAAAAAAATTACCAAATGAGATGACTTGAAATCTCTCTCAATGTTCTGAGACATTTCATCAATAGCCTTCAGCTGGTCCGACATGTCACGGAGGCGGCGAATCATGGCCGACTTGGGTTCAGAGACACTGCTCCGTGGCATAACAGCAATTGAGACTCTACATGAAAGATGGTTAACTTGTATATATTATAATTGCAAGTTTGTTACATAATATGAATTAAAAATTAGGAAACCAAAAGACAATTATTATTTTTATCTAAAAACTGACTCCTAAAAATTGATTAAAAGTGTAAATGTGAGTGTCAATTGTCAAGTTTATTAATATAACTATCATCCTTTTTGGCCTTCAGGTGTTCATTTTAAACATACCTGTCATCTTTGGTGGCTCTCAGGTGTTCATTTTATACGTACCTGCCATCTTTGGTGGTCCTCAGGTGTTCATTTTATACATACCTATCATCTTTGGTGGCCCCCAGGTGTTCATTTTATACATACCTGTCATCTTTGGTGGCCCTCAGTTGCTCAAACATTTTGACAGTCAGAGAATCATATCCTTGTGGAGTAACAACACTGGCTCTGGGGGCTAACTTCTCTCTCAGGGATTCCTCTAGGACTTCTGTCAACACAAGTAAACAGCTCAGTCTTTTAAATAAGTCCTAGCTCAAATCTAACACAGGAATCCAACTGTCTTGTTGGGAATTGAAAAGAGCTTAGGAAACTAATTAAACATTATTTGATAATTAGTGGTTGTAAATTAGATCTAAATAAGATGTAAAATAATAATGTACCCATTTTTTGGGCTGCCCTAAGAGACGTCATCAGGGCAGAGTCAATGTCCACACCATGCCCTTCATCTGCAGAGTCAGTGTGCTCAGGTATGTCTCGTAAGATGGATGATGCCCGGATGTCAACAACATTGAGATAGGAACGTCCCTGGCCAGGCTAAAATTATAAAAAATTGAGACCATCTGGGTCACTACCTCTGACTGCATTTGTTACCCATCAATCAGTATCTGACCACTCTTCACAGTACAACATTACACTAGTCTGAAATTTCTTTACTTACTAAAATGATCTTCAACTGTAATATTTCATAGACAGTACATAAATTAAAGCACCTAATTTTTCATTAGTTACTAAAGAAATACAATATATTTATTGGTCTTACAAACAAAGGCAAGGATTTGTATAAGCTATAGTTTCAATATGGTGTTACGCACTGGCTTCTAATATGAGAAATTAATCTCCTATTTTAATTTTATTGGCTCGTAAACAGTGCCTAACAAAGGACGATACCATAGAGTCAACAATATAAAAGATACAACACCCAAAACAGATGCCAGTTACAATTAATTAAGATTTATTAAGTATTAATACAATAAAAAAACAAAAGAAATATAATTATAAATCATCAACTTACAGTATGGTAGATCTTGTACCGGTACACAGTTAACACAGTTAGAATAATGTGCCAATGAATAATGATGAATGCGAAATAAACACGTACATAAGAACACAAAGAATAATACACGTCTCGTAAAGTTAATAATTTCTATCTGAATCTCCGTCTCCCCGTCCGTGCCTGTCAATCCCTTATATAGGTTGCGTAAGCCCTGCCTTCCAGAAAAGACTTATGACATGTTGTTTACATTTCTTGGGTTATCGAGCTCATTCGAGAAAATACCAGGAGAGAGTCTAACATGCTTAATCGGTAAACACGGTTGTAAACAAGATACATCAAACGAATAGGCCACGCCCACAACAGACGTTACTGTCTGCTAGGATTCTAATTTAGGTCAAGTAAAGTTCACGCACGGAAAAAGTGTGCTACATAACAATGGTTTTCAGAGAATTCATATTTCCATGTATAAAATGTCACGTTTTGATCCATAGGAAATAATAAACTCACTAGAGGTATATAAGAAGAAAAAAAACTTTGCCGAGTATATCTTTATATTGCCAGGTTACTCTATTTGAAAAGAGAGTCAAATCTAGTTGGGCACTTACCACCTCACTAGCAGCCCTCGTTTGTGTGTTCTGGTCAGCAAATCGTAGACCCATGAAAATGTCTGGTGGGAGAATGTTGTTGTGCTGTTTAATATTGTATTCGTTGAGAGCCTCTTGAATCGGATCAACACCTTGATGGACAAATGAGAAAAATTTTGTCAATGGAATCATTTCATCTCATGTGTGACTTTGAGAGTTGAAAAAGTTTCTAGAAATCTGGCAAAGAGCTGTATTTAGAAGAAAGGATATTTTTTTTAAAAATACAATGGTTAACAGTGAATAGATGATTGAACAAATATCTGATACCGAGAATTGTGAATTTCAGTGATGATACTTTTGTTATAAAAAAAATATAAAAGCTATAGACATTAAAACAAAAATATTACTCCACCTGTGTCCTTGGTGATGGATGTTGCAGCCTCGGCTGTCCTCACCACCTCCATGGCTGGATCAGTTGCCATGGCCATGTCTATCTGTTCTTGTGTCATGGTGCTAAAGTCAACCTGGTGGAGGATACAAAGTCAATATAATCATGTTAACCAGCAGTCATTATAATCATGTTAACCAGCAGTCAAGGTAATCAGGTTAACCAGAAGTCAAAATAATCAGGTTAACCAGAAGTCAATATAATCATGTTAACCAGCAGTCAAAATAATCAGATTAACCAGCAGTCAAAATAATCAGGTTAACCAGCAGTCAGGATAATCCTGTTTACTCTCTGTCCCACCCTCTGACCCTCTGACCGTAGTTTAGCTGAGTTTAACTGAGAGGATGCCCAACCCTACCTTGGCCCTGATTCTCTTCTCCACCTGTCTCTGCATGGCCATGGCCATTCTCAGTTGAAATGCTGCACTTGTTTGATTGGCTTCAGGTCCGATAAGCTGCTCACCAAGCTGCAAATAACTTTCAAAGACACCTGTTGAAAACAAATTATTTTAATAATTAGTTTCAAATAACTTACATGTGAGAAATGTGTATGCCTGCATTATCCTATATCTAAGCATCACTAAGAGAAAATGGACATAAGACTAATATACTTGACACCAATTATAATTTATTTTTAAAAATCAAGAACATTTGTGGTTTCTTTAAAGTTTATTCTTTATACAAAGTTTTTTAATTAATTAAAGGGATTAACTTACAAAAGTAAATTTGATACTCAGTGACTATTTCACTTCAAATTAAAATTTTCAGACTTTATTTTATCTTAGAGGAAGAGATGCAACTCCATGAAAAAAAGAAGACTTGGAATGGGACAGTTTAAAAATAATGTCCCAAAGCAGAGAGATTGTAAAACTGTGCACCTCTTGGCAGAGCAAATCCATCATTGATTTGAGTGTCACTGGTTGCTGCGTCTGCCACTGGCACATGCTCAATGTTATGATCAGGAGAAGTTGCCTGTTCATGTTTCTCTGACACCTGGACAAACTGTTCAAGAGATTGAGATGGAGTTCTGACACTTGATGTCCTCGATTTGTCAGATCTTTCTGACCTGGCTGACTCCTAGAAGGAATATTTATATTTCCCATTAGAAAAATTCATCTCCTCTGTACGTTAACTTAATTATGAATTTATTTCTTAGCATTTGAAGACCTTAGTGCTAAAAGTACTTAAGTCACAAAATAACCATTTTGAGATAATCAAGTTCAAATATTCAAAACGACCTTTAAATCAGGCAAGACATTCCATTATATTTCTGATTACTGCTACATATTTGTAGTGTTGTCATGAATAAACCTGCACATTTTTAAGCTTTAAACCCTCATTTTTTTTAAAGATATAGATAATTTAGTTTTTTGACTTAAGTACTTTTTGTCCTATTCCGTGACTTAGGTACTTCTTGCACTGAAACCAAACACTGGACTTAAGCACTTTTTCAACAAAATCATGTTTTTAAATACATTTTATTATATTATTAACACACAAAACACACTTTAGTTGGAAAATAATGCTACTCTCAGCACAAATTAAGATGGCAAATGAGTCTACTCAATGTCATCAGTGTCACTCTTGTCTTCCTCTGTATCTTTACCTTTAATAGTACTATAAAAGGTAACATCATCTGGAATATTGACATGCGTTAACAGTTCACATATGTCATTATATTTTGCTGTCTTGACAGGCAAAAAATTGATGTAAGCACGATCAGGTTTCGTTGAAAGGAGTGTTGAAAGTTTTTTCCCACGTTTAAAAGTATATATGACGTCTGAGCATTCTGCAGTCATAGAATTTCGGCTTAGTGGTACCTGACCTCTTTCAAATTTCGCCCCTCTAAACTCACTAATGCCAGTCACTGGTTTTAGCAAGGGGTCATATGCTCTTTTATAGTCAAGGACTTTAACAACAGGGGTTCCATCTTCCATCATGTTGTCTGTTAGTGGATGTTCCACGTAAACAACATTAAATGGCTTGTTGGTATCTGTGCTCTTTATAAGTGATACCCACTGTGACGGTAGAATGACCCTGTCTTTTTTCCGTCTCCTCTTTTCAATTCGTCCAAAATCCCGATCACAAGGCATTCGGCTATGTCCAGGGAGGGGATACTTAACATAAGCTTGTCTTAAAGAAACACTTTTATGCACAATGCTTTGTAGATAGGCAAAGATGTATCGGTTTTTATTCTGTGAAAAACAGTTATCCATGAATATTATTATCTTTGTAGTGGTAGCTGGAAGACAAGAAATGTAATGGTCTAGACATGAAATTACTTCATTGGGGCCTTTAGCTGCAAAATGTTCAGCATAAAGATACATTTGTGCAGATTCATTTACATTGTCATGAATACACAGGTTGTGGATCCACAGTTGGCGCTTATAATATTCTTGCCCAATGCCGGTTAGAGGTAGAGGTAAATTTTTTTCAAAGTCCATGCAGATCACTGCAGTGTCTTTACTTTGTTTTGCAGCTTCTGTGGCTTCTCTGATCTGCACATTAAATACATCAGCTTTCCTTATGTGAAGCTCATGCTGAAGTTTCAGGTCCTTAACAACGTTGGCATCATTTAAAGATTCTGCTGCTTTTATTTGTGCTTGAAATTTTTCACATTTATCACATATGTCACTCCGTGGAAATCCAAATTTAATATTGAATTCAAAGTTAAATATGTCATGGTAAAACCAGTATTTACACTCCGTAAGATCTGGATTTTCCTTTAAAAATAAGCGATGCATTTCTGCAACTGTCAAAGAGGAATCCAGGTACTTTTTGTGCTTGTTCTTTGCTCTGCTGTAGTGGCTTTCACGTGCAGGAAACAGTCTAATGTGGTCACAAACACGATCTCGGATTTTTTTATCAATTTTTCTATGGTTTCCATGTTTTCCTCTCCCATCTTTAATGGGGACAGAAAAGTTTAGTACTTTTCTCTTCAGCCTAGATTCCTTTATCCCATGCAAAGCAAGAAATGCTGCCTTGCAAATGGAAATAGTTTTGTCCAGTGCAGTGACTGAATATGAAAAGCTGCTTCGTTCTTTGCCATTTTCTTTTCTGGGCCTTCGACGAATACTAGTGTCATCGTTTACACTTATGCAACCCTGAAGATATATATTTTGAGCCTCATGATCTTTAAGACCATTAAATTCTGATAAAATTCTTTCCATCTCAAAATCTGTGAATTTTGTCAGACATTTACAACGACATTCTACTCTTGCAGGCTCCCTTGATGGCTTGACCTTGTTATCATAGGATGTGTGAGCTTCTCCTGAAATAATATGTTTTAAAATATAATTCCATGGCATGGTCGATGTTATTTATCTTGTCTCATACTAATAACAATAGAACACTGCCCTTCAACTAAAATAGTAATCCGTTTTATTTTTCAGACACTTTATTTTATATAAAAGTAAAAGCAGTAGTATACTACTTTAACTTTAAGTTACTATATCACTATTTAAGAATAACTAAATGCAATATAAACGTTTGGTTATTAGTATTAGGCATCAGGAGGACTAAACCTACTAAAAGCAGGACAGTAATGAGTGAACAGTCATGTAATGCCATGCAGTGCCACTGCTGCTACTACTACTACTACTACTACTAGTAGTAGTACTAGTGTAATCTTAAGTACTAAATTCTATAGACTAGAATATTAATATAAAAATATGAAATAGAGGTGTGGGAGTTATATTGTTCTATTATATTTAAAAATGCTGACAATGTTTCAGTATCAGCTAAAAATACCTGGGCCTGGGTAAGACTAAGGTCTAAGTCTAATAATAGTAAGAGTTAATAGTTATCGATCGGGGCATCTTGACCCAGTTTGCGATAGTGTAATTTTAATATCCCCACAACAGTAAATTGATTGTAATAATATAAATATATTCTTACCTCTGACTTTAGCCAGCTTAATTACATTTCTTTTCCATTTTGATGGTGTTAGTCTTCTCTTTTTCGCTTTGGATTCATATTCAGGTTGGTCAGAGCTCGCCTCGTCCGCCATTTTTTTCGAGGTTTGAGACAACTAAATGCAGCTAAGTGATTGGCCAAGGGGAGATAAGAACTTTTAGCACCGAAACATAGGACTTCAGTACTTTTTGTCCATTAAATTTGATCATTCTTATTTTTGGTTTGTATAAAAAGGGGACTTAGGTACATTTTAACGTCTCCAAATTTATGCTATATATGGGGCTAAACCGGATAAGTAAAGGTCCACGTTTCGTTTGATTTTCAAAAAAATGTGACTTAAGTACTTTTAGCACTAGGGTCTTCATTTACCAACTAGATCAGCCAGTGTTATGGAATGCAATATTTAAATTTTTTCTAATGAATAATTCATAGTTAATTTGTATTCTTTATAAAAATATATTTTTGAACAGAAACTTTTGACTCAAATGAGAATTTTAGTGAAAATGTCCACTATTAAAAAACAATTAAGAATTATTTAAAAAATGTGTGAATTATAAATTTTTTTAGGAAAGATGAGATAAAGTTTAAAAACAAATTTTTTTTTTTGAGATAGTAATAAAAGGTCAGTTATAGTAAATAGGACAACGTATATTTGTCTGAGATAAAAAAAAAATTTGAATGTCAAGGTTTGAACTTACCAGTGGACTTTGCTGAGCCTCCATACGCAGCATTTGCTGTCCCAGGATTAGCTTTTCAGAGTTTTCTTTATCTGCCAGAATCTCTTCTTGAAACTTCCTTAGAAGTCTTCTCCTGGTCTCTTCTAACTTGTCTCCCCCTGAATCAGCCCCAAATTGTACACCAAGGGGGAGCAACTTCAGAAATGGGAGACCGGCTGGTGGTGCCTCACTTGGTGGGGCGCGCAGTGATTGGTGAGGTTTGTGCTCATAAGGGGGAGGCGAAAATTTTTGTTGGAGGGGAGCGGACAGTAAATATGAAGACGGGGCTGGAGAGGGTGGGATGTGGAACAAAGGAAGTGAATGAAATTGTGGAGGTTGGCCCAGTGGCCCATGAGATTGTGGATGTTGGCCCTGTGGCCCATGAAATTGTAGAGGTTGGCCCTGTGGCCAATGAAATTGTGGAGGTTGGCCCTGCGGCCCGTGAGATTGAGATGGGAAGGCTTGAAGCGGGGGTGGTTGGACCTCAAGCTTGTGTGTATGAGACTGGGGTGGAAAGGGTGGTGGCGGGGGCACCTGTGGTAAGTAACGCCTGAGGTTGCTGAAAGGCTCCTGGACATCCATTGTTTTGTTGATATGTAAGAGAGACATCTGGTGTAAACCAGGGGCAGGAACAGGCTGGTGTTGCTGCTGTGGTCTCCCCTGTTCAGGCCAAGCATTCACATGTAAGAATGGTAATCTAAGATTTCTTCCATTGTCTTGTCTGAAATCAACAATGTTCAACAATGTAAGTAGCTTAATTTTTTTTCATGTATTTTGTAACTGCTACATATATTTTTATATTTACACTAACTGATTGTGACTTATTAACCTATTTGGGAGCTTTATCCCAGTTCAACACTCTTATAATTAAACAATTACTTGTAACATAGTTTATATTTTATCTTTATTCCAGAGAATGATACTTTACAAAAATGGTTACTTTTTATAAAAACATTTTCAAAAATATTCATTTAAATTATTAACACATTGTAACAAATCGTTTAAAGTTAATGTCCATGATCATACTAGTTTTAGCTTGAAAGTTTAAGTGACATAACATTAAGAAATTAAAATGAGCAGTTACTCACTGCGGGTAACTTGCAAGCAGAAATCTGGCATGAGAACTCATTTCTTGACCAAACAAATTATGCTGGGGCTGCTGGGAATGAAAACAAAAAAACAAAAAAAAAGATTTTACGGACATCAAACCACATTGTTTAGAACTGTGGTTATCAACCTTCCTAATGACGCGACCCTTTAATACAGTTCCTCCTGTTGTGGTGACCCTTAACCATAAAATTATTTTCATTGCTACTTCATAACTATGTGTTTTCCGATGGTCTTAGGCGACACCTGTGTAAAGGTCATTGGACCCCCAAAAGGGTTACGACCCACAGGTTGAGAACCGCTGTCTTTGAGGGAGAATGCACTTTAATACATTTTGACTTGTTTCTTTTTGACAGCTGAAAATTGTTCAAATAAATTTGCACTCAGTGACTTTCTGAATAATGTAATAAATGACTTACAATGATGCTGAGGTAAACATAATATTCTTACCAATGATTTGGTTAATTGGAGGAAATGGGTTTTAAAAGTCAATTCAAATTAAGAGATTTTTATAAAGGTATGTTACAAAGTGGGAAAAAAAATTGTTATTTCCTCACCATAGATGAGTTACGCTGTAGATTTTGAAGTTCCACTAAGGCCTCTCTCATTGGAGGACTTCTCTTTTCTCTTTTTCTAGTTTTAGGACTTTTTAAAGGAGATGTTGGAACCATTTCATCCTGTAATAATTGGAAATAAAAAATAAATAGCTGAGTGTTAAAAAATGTATGGGTTTTTTTTTATGGCAGAAAGAGTGTCTTGTCCCCATAGTTACACAACTAGAATCAATATAAGTAACCATTATTATGGCTGGCAGTTCTCAGGTTGACATCAAAATTTTTGTATCTAATATCTCAAGTTTTGGGCTGCTTCTGAGATACAAACTAAGCATTGTGCATAAATCAATGCAAAAAAAGAATGTGGAGAAGGAAAACGAGGACGGCTGTGTTGAGTTTGATTCCAAGATTTGAGGAAATGTGTGGGGCACAACAACAGGCTCATCCAGCCAACTCATTACAATGTTGGGGCACAACAACAGGCTCATCCAGGCAACTCATTACAATGTTGGGGCACAACAACAGGCTCATCCAGCCAACTCATTACAATGTTGGGGCACAACAACAGGCTCATCCAGCCAACTCATTACAATGTTGGGGCACAACAACAGGCTCATCCAGCCAACTCATGTCTTGAATTTGCTTAACATTTTTTGTGATTGAAAATGCATATTTTATTTTAATTTGAAAAAACGAAAACAAAAACAAAAAAATTCACAGCATGCTTGTTAGATATTGACATGGGCACCTCGGGAAAGCCTGGATCCAGCAAGGGCGTTGAGAATCCAAAACAAAAGTTAGGGAACCCTATATGTAGGCTAGCTTTTACATTTAGTTTTAATTTCTTTTTAGACATTTTCAATGAATGATTTTGTTGAATAATCTCTTGCTACAGTGAGTACTATTTTAATTGATTAACAACCTAATAATAAAGTACCACTTCTTTGGAGTTCATTTATACAACCTTACTGTTCAAACAACATTTTTTACTTGTAAAGACAAACCTTTGTTACCTGTAGAGACACTTTTTACCTTTAAAGAAATTATTTGCATGGACTATTGCAATGCTCTCATGGTGGGTCTTCCAGCTACGCTCCTGGATAAAATTCAGATAGCACAGAATAATGTGGCTCGAATTGTTCTCCGCAAATGCAAGTTCGACTATGCAAAAACACTTCTGAGAGAGCTGCACTGGCTGCCGGTCCGTGCTCGCATATAGTACAAAATCGCAACGTTGTGCTACCGCTGTTTACATGGCCTGGCGCCGTCCTATCTGAAAGAGCTGCTGACGTCTTATGTACCCACTAGACAACTCCGCTCATCCGACAGTGGCAAACTCTTGACACCACGTGTTCGCCTTGAGACTTGCGGAAAGCGCACTTTCGCATTTGCTGGTCCAACAATTTGGAACGCCCTTCCACTCGATCTCAGAAACATCCAGACACTGGAGTCCTTTAAAACCGATTTAAAGACACATTTATTTCGCAAACACCTTCTGGGATGATTGTCTACCATATTTTCCATTTAATGCATATTAGCTGTGTTGCTCAGGGTTGAAATGGGTAGAAAGACTTTGACATTGTATGCTTGTAATTAGTTTTTGTAGTGTTGCGTTTGTTTTAAATGTGGTAAATTATAGATTTGTTTTTTGTTGACTTTGTACCGCGCTTCGAGCCTTTGGGGATGAAGCGTGTTTTTGAAATACACTTTATTATTATTATTATTTTTAACCTTTAAAGTAACATTTTTAACCTGCAAAGACAGCCTTGATTTCCTATAAACATTTATTTACTGTAAAGTAAACATTTATTTACTGTAAAGAAAAAGTTTGTTACCTGCAAGGACAGCATTTCTGCAAGTGACTCTGACTCTTCCTCGTCCCTAGCCTTGGTCCAAGCTTGTTGAACTTTGATAGTAGGTGGCTGACTTAGTTCAGATCTTTTCTGATCCTTCTCCAATCTTAAAGAATTTGATTTAGAGACTGCATGCCCAGCTGAGTTGGAAGGGATGGGAAGGGCTGAGAACTCTGCTGGTGAAATACCATCAATGGCTCCCATCATGGCTAAAACACTTCTGTGCTGGACCTAGTCATAGCAAACAAGGACTTTGAGTTGATTCAAATAAATAACTATTTCATAAGAACACTTTCACAAGGCTGCATTTACTCAACGGCCGCCTTAGGTAAACTTTCGCCCCTTTGCGAAGCAGCCGTTTGCCGCCCCCTTCAGTATTGATAAATTAATTTCCACGCCCTTTTGGTTGGTCCCAACCCCAGTGTTAGTATCCATATAAAGAATGCAACTTTCATTGTGTGAAAACTCATTGTATGAACAGCAAGTGTATGAAAAGTTACAATACTGTTTCTTGACCCTGGACCCGAGGTTCCCACTTCACTATAATAAACAAAGGGAATTTAAATATTTATTGGGCCCCCCAGGCGTCCATTTGGCCACGGCGTGGGCACAAGTCCCACACCCTAAAGCCCGGCGTTGGTTTACTTTACAAATAATGAAATTTTTTTTGCTTAAACTTGATTCCTTTTTAAAAAATTAGCCCAATTAAATTATCATCTTTTTTGCGTCAACAATATTTTATCAGTAGAAATTGTTTTATGACTTTAACAAGTCAGATTATTATTAAAATTTGACCTAAACAATAACACTGCAAATCAAAGTACTTACCTCCATGATTCTGCGCAACTCATCCCTTATAATTCCTTGAAGCTGACCAGCTATACCCCCAACCTGGTCTTGAAGTTTTGGCTGTCTGTCTCCAGCAGAATTTACTTTCCTTGGGGACGTGCCCCTGGACTGCTGGGACTTTTTGCTGGTGCTTCCAGATAAACTCTGAGTCTTTTGATCCTTTGGAAGGGGAGGTGATAAACTTGGACTCCTGGCTTCTGAAAAATTAATAATTAAAACCTAAATGTTGCAGATTCTTTTCAGCCAATAAAAAATGGATATTCTTGATGTTTACATGAATCAAGCATTTTTTTTTTAAAAAGGGCTTTTTAATATTCACTTAATAAATTTTGGAGGTTATTTTTTGTTTTCCTTCTGCTATTAGTGTTTACAAAATTTAAAATTGGGTCAAAGATTTAAAATAGTTTTTGTTTTGTTCTTTCAGACCACAGTTTTATAAAGAAATTGTATCCATAGAAGATGATGAACATTACATCACAAAAATGTGTTATAAAAGGTTAAAAACTCATATTAGACTTTGCTGTCCAAATGTTCTGATGCCAGGACTTGGAAACTGCAGCCCTGGTTTGCAAGTGGCACAATAGTCATCAGGTGGAAAATAAAATGTTGTCGTGAAACAAATATTTAATGAAAAACAGGGTGGGGTTGTTTTTTTTACCATGTAAAATGTTGGGTCTGCCCTGGCCTGTATAAGAAACAGCTAATACATATGTTGGGTCTGCCCTGGCCTGTATAAGAAACAGCTAATACATATGTTGGGTCTGCCCTGGCCTGTATAAGAAACAGCTAATACATATGTTGGCTCTGCCCTGGCCTGTATAAGAAACAGCTAATACATATGTTGGCTCTGCTCTGGCCTGTATAAGAAACAGCTAATACATATGTTGGCTCTGCCCTGGCCTGTATAAGAAACAGCTAATACATATGTTGGCTCTGCTCTGGCATGTATAAGAAACAGCTAATACATATGTTGGCTCTGCCCTGGCCTGTATAAGAAACAGCTAATACATATGTTGGCTCTGCTCTGGCCTGTATAAGAAACAGCTAATACATATGTTGGCTCTGCTCTGGCCTGTATAAGAAACAGCTAATACATAATATGTTGGCTCTGCTCTGGCCTGTATAAGAAACAGCTAATACATATGTTGGCTCTGCCCTGGCCTGTATAAGAAACAGCTAATACATATGTTGGCTCTGCCCTGGCCTGTATAAGAAACAGCTAATACATATGTTGGCTCTGCCCTGGCCTGTATAAGAAACAGCTAATACATATGTTGGGTCTGCCCTGGCCTGTATAAGAAACAGCTAATACATATGTTGGCTCTGCCCTGGCCTGTATAACAAACAGCTAATACATATGTTGGCTCTGCCCTGGCCTGTATAACAAACAGCTAATACATATGTTGGCTCTGATATGGCAGCTCTCCATGGGAAAGATGAAAGAAACCAAACTAAATTCTTACCTAATATCTCAGGTTGTTTTATAGGTGTGCTTGTGTCTTTAGGTTTCAACAGAGAACTCTGAGGAGCTCTCTCAGGAGATGCATCTTTTGGCTGGATAGTTTGTCCAAGCACTGACCTGGGGTCAAGAAAAATAACATCATTTAAACATGGAATTTTTTTCTGATTTTTTTTTCATTTAAGATTTGGACACAGTTTAAGGAAAAAGAAACTAAGGTTTCAATTCTTTGTAAATGTAAACTTATTAAGAGAGCTATTTATAGAATCCTTGTAAGAATTGTTTACCCTCGCAACATGTTGAGTGTTGTTTTCAAGCTATCCCCCATTTCATCTGAAGCCAGTGAGCTGATGTCTATGGAGCTACTCTCATCTTGCCTGTCAACAAATGGAATCTAGTAATTAATCTAATTAAAATTGAAACAGTTCTCATTGCTTACATTTAATGTAGGAATCAATGAAGCAGCAGAGAAGGTTTTTTTTTATTACAGCAGTACCTCCCAATAACGACATAATTAACGACCTCACCGTTAAGTGAAAAATGCCAGCAAAGGAACTGAGGCTTTTTTGTGCCTCCTGAGGGCCTGGAAGCAAAACTACATACTATGTACTAATATATTTTAAGTGTGCAGATAGATGCAGAACGCACAATGACTGTAAACAGATTGATCACATGAATTGTAATACATTGCAACACAATTTGGCAGTAGCGTCTCTTTGTTTGTGCGTTTCCTTCCACACAAAACTGAGTAGTAGTGAGTATCGCGGGTGGAGAATTAAGGGTGCCATTATTGCATAACTGCGTTAAGCGAGTAGCCGTTATTGCGAGGTGCTACTGTACTTACATTTAAGGTAGGAATCAATGAAGCAGCAGAGATGTTTTTTTTACTGCTTACATTAAAATTAGGAATCAATGAAGCAGTAGAGAAGTTTTTTTTTTAAAGAGTTGAAGGTACAAATTTGAAATGTTAAATTTTTATTGAAAATAATTAACCTTATCATTATTCTTGAGAAAGCTAGTATATGGTTGTGTTGAGCTTTTTGTATTTTACTTTGCCTAAGCATAAAAGTAAAAGTGTTGCATTTTTGTGTGCTTGGAATTATCTTTTATTTTTAAATATTAATTTTAGCTATATAAAGTTATTCTCCAATTCACATCATTTGTAGATTTTGTAACATGAACAACACAAAAGGTTTTGTGAGTAAAACTAAAGAAATTTATAGATACTAACCCATCCAATGCCTGAGTGTAGGCATTTATAATCTCATCATTCTCCAAAGTGGACTGCCGAGACAGTGGTGCTGATTTGTTTTCAAGATTCCCACTCTTTTCATCTGGAGACTCAAATCTTTCAACAACAAAAAAACCAGATTGAATGTATAGTGATGTAAAGTAATTGTGAATTCAAATGAAAATTACATTTACCTGAAGTTTATCTTGGTTATTTGTAGAGAGGTAATAATAGATAGAGATATAAATATATAGAGAAATAAAATTTTAAAAAAAATTAAAATAATTATAAGATTTAAAAAAATGGTTCAAGATTTGAAATTAAAATTAAGCACAAATAACATTGAAAGAAATATCCAATACCTTGCTTTTGATGACTGTTGACTCATAGCTTGAGGTTGATATGATTTTGATGACTGCTGAGCAGCTGCATGTGTTTGATAAGCTTTCTTCATTTCTGGTTCAGATGAGAAATTTGATTGCCTGTGAGGAAGGATCAAATTATCAATTATTTATCAAATTATTGACACATATGTTCATTTCTGATGATAAATGCTGTAGCCAAAGTCTTTATTGTACTATTAAGGAATCCTGAGTACCATGATTATTACAATCATACTGCTTAAAGACAAAAAGCCGTGTACTCCTTATAATATATCAACAAGCTTCGTTGCAACAAGAGACTGGATTCAAAGCAGTGGAATTCTCAACGTATCTTTGAGCAGACGCAATTAAATAGTAATATTACTTAACTGAAATATCTTCAAATGTTTTGCTCTAAAGATCATTTCTTGCCTGCATAGACAGCAATGGCATCTTGAGTTAAACTAATTTTTTTAATTTGGATTAGTATCAAATACTATTTTGTACTGGCTAAATGAAAATACTCTTTAACACCTAAAGTATTAACAATTATTCTCTCAAAATGCAATAAAGTGATTTGAAATTATAACTTAAGTATCAGGAGACACTAAGTAGCCAAGATACCTGTTAGGTGGGCTCAAAGAATTTGTTCTGTGTGGACTTTTGCTTAGTCGCCGAGATCGTCTCCCCTTATTCACTACAGGATCCATCTTGACCTCGTCTTCTGCTGTCTTACTATACTTGTTTTCTAGGAGCCAAAGGGAGAGAATGATCAGCTGAGCTGGTATTCGAATCCTCATTTTGGCCTGAAAAAAATGTGTAAAAAAAAAAAATTATTCATATTTTTATGGAATATTTTATTTAATACGGCAGTTTCTCATGAAATTAAACTTTAAAATCCTCAAGATAACTGTACATATATTTAAAAATGATAATGAGCACAACAAACATGGATTACTCCTCAAAACTGCACACTATTTTTATGCACCTTAAGTAAATCTTGAAAGCCTAGTTAATTTAAATAAAAAGTACATAGAAGAGAGACATGCTTAGAAAGTACTAGAAAGCTTGTTTGCCATTAAAAAATTTCCCACAAAATTTATTTTTTGTCCTATGTCCTACTTGGATATCCAGAATCTCCTCCTTGTCTGGGATGCCTAAAGCATGGGACTTGTTGCTCCAGACCTCCAACCATTCCACTAACTGATGGAGTACTTTGTACTTCTTGCCGAAATTCACGGTCAATGACCAGGATGTCCTTTCCTGTTCTCTGGCATGGCTATTCCTACGTACGTCCTCAACCGAATGGCCAAAGCGTGAGGCCAGGCTGGACAGGTTCTGTCTGCTCCCTGCAGCGTGATCATGTGAGACCTGGGAGCCAACAAAATAATTCATATCCAAGTCATCAAGGCTTGGTTCGCTCTCAAATCTGAAATTGTAAAAATTATAAACTGAATATATATAACCTGGCAATGCATATTTAGCATTCTTCCTAATTTCAAAAGTAAATTAATGTTTTAAAAAAAAATAATTTCTGTAACTTCTATTTGAAAAGCTTATACAAGTAACTTATTGAAAATCAGATATTGCAAGTGATACTTTGTTTTGTAAACTATGTCACATATAAGAACCATATTTTCTACCAACCTCCTTACAGCTGCATGGCTTTTAACCACTGGGGCATCTATCATGCTCTTTCCTCTAAACAAGCCCACAGGTCTGGTCACGTTAACCTTTTTATGTTTCATTTCCCCTGAGCTGCTGAAAACCTCTTTAGACGTTGTTCGACCAGGAACTGACCTCTCCTTGCTCTTGGGCCGTCCAGACAATCTCTCCTCACTTGCAGCTCTGGCTAGAGTCTGGGAGGCACCAGAAAAAATGACCAGACTTTGGTTCTTCTTTTGGGCAGAGTATCCAGCTCTCTGAACAAAGAATGTTATTTCATGGTCCACGATGTCTTTGGCAAACACCTGCAGCATTGGCAAGCTGTAGATCTTGTCCATGCCTTCCATCATGTCAAAAACCTTGCTAAAGCTAACAGCAACAAAGGTGTCCAAAAACTCAATGTAAGATTTCTTTGTTTCAAAGGGGAGGGAGCCAATGTTGAGTTTGTTTTTCTTTGGCTTGGCATGGGATTCGGTGAAAACAAATTCTTCAAAAGAACCAAAACACTGGCTTTTCTTTTTTATTACCTTATCCATAACCTGCAATTAGAGGAAGAATATTCTGAGATTAGTTTAGAGACGGATATTGTAATTCATAATTTTAGAAAACAAAAATTACAAATTGTACTTGTATATTTTTTAGAAAGAAAATTTATTTTTTGTTTTTTTTAGCTAATTTAATTTCTTCTTAAAATATAGTTTTAAATAAATTAACAAGCAACTATTAAATAACACTGGAATCACACAGTAAGGCACAAATTAAAATGTACAATAAAGCTATTATGCCTGCATGTGAATATAACAGACTTAATGCAGTAGTTGTGGAAATAGACAGTCACATAAATCAGACATTACTAACCATACACTGTTTGTGGAAATAGACACTTAAACTCATTCCCCTGGGGCTAGCAGCCAAAAATGTCACAGACTTTCTGCCTTCCACATCCATGTTTAGATTATCACCAACTGACCTGCCATCCGCAGCCTGTCGCAAGATGATTCCCTGCATTGGAAATATTTCATCCTGGCTACAAAGTCTCTTCCAACAAAAATTTTAGTTAAATGATTAAAAAAATTTTAACAGATTAGTAGACATAATCATTTATTCCCTTGCACTCTGTGCCTTCAGATATGTTTACCATTTGATTATGTTTGTATTCAATCCTACACAGGTTATTTTGTTAGCATGTCAACAAAAATGAAGTACAACACAAAGGTGGCCGAGCGGTCTAAACTGAGTCAATCCCTAACAAGTGGACTGGAGCTCAATCCCCAGAAAATGCCAAGACAAGCAAAAAACATCACCAGCTCCCCCAGGGTGGATGTTAACCAGCTCATTTAATAGAAGGCAAACTCTGAAATCCAACCCGGTGATGGAGTCCTGTAAGTGTTGTGACACTGCCACAATGAATATTCCGACAACTCCTGTGACGTGAAACGCAGAAAAAGCGCATCAAGACACACAAGACACACTGCTGGTCATCTACTGCATCCTGGTCCATTTCCAGTCTTGACTAAGTCTTGCCATTGGATCAAATAGGCACGGGCAAGTGAGTGAGGCTGACGCATTAAGCAGCTGTTCCTCACTTTAAACAAAGACAGCTCAAGTCAAGGCAACTGCTCAAGTCTAAAAATTGCCCTGGTTCGTGGACCAAGGACAAACAACATGCAAACCACCACATACAACATAACAAACAATATAAAACAACAACAGACAACATGCAAACAACCAGATACAATATAACAAACAACATACAAACAACAACATACAGCATATAACAAACAACATACAAACAACAACATACAATATAACAAACAACATACAAACAACAACATACAATATAACAAACAACATACAAACAACAACATACAATATAACAAACAACATACAAACAACAACATACAATATAACAAACAACATACAAACAACAACATACAGCATCAGGCAGAAACCAAGAATTTTTAATTATTTCAGAATACAATAAATCTGGGTTTAACTCAAACCATCCAACATTATTTTATATTCTTAACACCCAGAAATCCTGTCCAAAATTGTCAAGTGGACAAGGAATTCATCTTTTGCCATTAGAACCATGGACCAATTTCCATTGGGTTTTCTTATTGTAATCATTGCATGAGATCATTTGGCTTATTCCCACCATCTCTTTCTAACAATTTCAAGCATTAATTCAATTTGACCAACCTGCCAGGATTTGAGCATACGATCAAGTCTCTCTTGGACTTCTGGGTGGAGGTTTTCAAGGTCATACATGTGCTCAGCTAAAATATTGGCGGTATCTTCAGTGGCTGGTAGATCCAAGAGCAAGGACAACACCACCTAGGGTCCATGGAGGGACAACAAGAGTATAATCAAACAAGGCACAGCTCAAAGTTTGTGTTAGTGGTAATAAGGTCAGCTCAAAGTTTGTGTTAGTGGTAATAAGGTCAGCTCAAAGCTTGTGTTAGTGGTAATATGGTTAGGCATTGTTTTCATTTAATTGTGTGGAAGAATAAATCATTAAATTTGGATTCTAGAGTAGAATTAGAATTTATGTTCATTCAGCCCCCCAGGGTCAGTCAGAGAGTTTAATTAAAGAAACAGCTACCAGGGTCAGTTAGATAGTTTAGAAACAAAGCCCCCAGGGTCAATCAGAGAGTTTAATTAAAGAAACAGCCCCTAGGGTCCGTTAGATAGTTTAGAGACACAGCCCCCAGGGTGAGTCAGAGAGTTGAGAGACAGAGAGAATAGTTGGTCAAATTGGTACCGTAAGAAATTAAAATTGACTCATTATTTTGTTATCTTGTAAGATAAAATAAAAACATTAAAATGTGCAGATGATTCCCATAAAATTTTGAAATAAAAAATTAAATAAAACTTGTAATTGATTCTAGTGACAATAACAGAGGTGAACCATAAGTATCATTTGAAAAAATGCCAAAAAAATCTTTATGTTGTAAAAAAAGCTAAGGGATCACCAATCACGGTTCTGCCCACTGGGATGAAATCCTCTAGGGAAGCAGACGTCTCAATAAGGATTTTAAGATCATAAACGGTTAATCTCACCTTGTAGATACTGGCCTCATCTGGTAGATAGTGGCTGAACGCCACCATGTGAACTGCCCACTGGAGGGTTGAGAAACATTCCCTAAGCCACTGTTCATTGTTCTCAACATCAAGACCCTGGAAACAGTTGCATAGTTTAATAGTAGCTTTAGCAGATATGGTCAATATCCTTAAATCTTAGGATCCTATTGGACATTACGTCATAACTTTCTAGAGTCAAATCTATTTATTCCATCATGCTAATGTTCTGCAGAGGAAAAATAATATAACTTTAAGTGAGTGTGTATTTTAAGATCAAGGACAACCATGGGTATTCACTAGTCATTTTTGAGCCCCGAATATTTATGTTTTATTCTGCACGGTGTGTCTTGAGTGTTAGGGTAGTTAATGGGGCGTGTGACTTATTGTAACATTTTTTATGGTAATTGTGACTTTGTTTCTATAGTCTGTCTTTGGTGTACTGCATTTTTGTTGAGCATTCCATGAAAAAGGACTTGTGTTTAATCCAGTGTGATTAAGACTTATGAACGTGTCAAAGAATTTTATGAAAGAAACCAATCATACATACATACGGATCATGACAACAGGGATGTATGTAATCATCAGCCATCACTATCCTATCAACTATTTTAACTTAGGATGCCTAAATCTAGAGTAGGTTTTAAGCCCTTATATTCTAAAGTTTTAAATTCTTAAAAAGGAAATAGAAGAACAAGATTTGTCGAAGCTTGCAACTTCTGACAATAACATTAAAAGCGACCACTCAAGTTTTTTAACTAGTTTTTATTTCTTGTTGTTTGTCATGTCTGCCGAGGAAGGCTCTTAGCCGAAATGTTCTTTTATCATCCTGTCTTTCTATTTCAGGCTTCCACATACCTCGTTCTTCTATTTGCTTCACACAGCTTGAAAGCAGGCCTTCCTTTATTATCATTTATTCTCCTTTAATTTCTCAACTTCTCTTACTCTTATGCGTCAACATCCAAAATACTGTAACTCACATTCTATGTTTGGTTTACAAAGCAGATTACATCGAGTCTAACTTTTGAGTTAAATCTTTGCTGCCATGTGAAGACTGGTGAGACACAAACACTTTAACCTACTAAAAGGATTTATCGCAGTCCTACCCTCTTAGAATTGTCATGGAAAGATTCTAATGTCAATATAATGTGGACATTTTTAACAATTCTAAAGCTCAATCTTTTCCCCTCAAGATGGACGACACTGAGTGTTCTTGTTCTATTTTCCTAAAATGTACTCACAAGGCCAAGGTATCTTTCTCTTGACCGTATGCCCATTGAGAGCTTGTCCCTAGCATGAAGCAGCCACACCAGTGAACACAGGTCCCTGAAGCTTGACAGTACAGATTTGACTGAGCGGTCCTCAAACATGTTATGAAACTCTGACTCTCTGTCCAAGAACTGATAAAGTACATCCGGTAGGTTGGCACAAGGTCCCTCTGTGTTGGCCTGAGGATAAACCATTACAAATATTAACATTGGAAAATAAATGAAACTCTTGATTATATTTCAAAGGTGTAGAGATTTTAACAAATAATGCCCATTTCAAAAATTTGCAATAAGTTGCACGACGGCAGAAGAAATTCATTGGTTTAGCAGTCTGGTCTAGTTTGAGAGAGCTCATTGTGTGTTTGAGTAACACCTAGGATAGAGAACGACCGAAAGTGATTTTCTGATTTCGGCCAAAGCCGAAAATAGGCCGAAAGTTTAAAATGACTTTCGGATGAAACGGAAGCAGAAACCGAAAATGAATTTTTAGATATTTTGAAATTTGTTCCTGCATACATTTTGCATACATTGAAAATGATGGGGGAAAGTGTAAATATTTATATTCTTTTCATAAAAAAAGAGATAATCGTGAATATTGATAAATAAACATCTAATATTAGGGTCTGAAAATCGTGGCCCGCAAGCCATTTGTGATCCGCAAGACGATATTTTGCGGCCCGCTACATGATAGAAAAGTTTAGTGTTAATGCGCTGGCGCATTTCCCCCATTCTCATATCTATAACTTGACTCTCCGCGACGGTTTCAGTCAAATCCCACCGACTAGTACAATTCTGACTTTTTAAAAATGTTTCTATATATTTTTGTATGATGATTATAATGGTAAGAACCGTTTTAAACTCGGAGTAAAAGTTTTTATTTTATAGCTTTTTATGAGACAGACATGGCAAAGAGTGCGGCTTTGAGAAAATTTTTTAAAAGTGAGTTGGCGGGTAATGCACAACCATAATTGTGTAAATCGTAGCAATTTGATACATTATCAAAGGATCCATATTAAAATTGCCACTAGTGTTTACGAGTGAGGTAAATTCCGAGCCTGTCAGCTTGGTCACTTTCTAAATCTTCTTCTTATACCTTTTTAACCAGTCTGGGTCTCTACATTTTTTAGACTTCAAAACACAGACAGCCACTTTTCAGCTTTTTGCTGACCCTTTCTCCTTTAATGTGCAAGATGCCCCGCGCGGGGAGCCGAATGGAAAAACAAAGCATGGACATTTTATTGCATTGCCCTCCACCTTTCCTGAAATTTTTAGGTTGTTCAAGCGGAACATATGACTTTTCGGGAGTACCTATCTGTGTGAATAGCTCTTTTCCACTATGCACTTTAACAAGTCAAAGTTTAGGGCCAAACTTACTGATGAGGATCTTCAAGCTATACTGAGAGTTTGTTGTTAAAGATTGTTTATTTTGTTCTTAAAAATCGCTTAGTTTGTTGTTAAAGATCGTTCAGTTTTTTCTTAATGATAGCATTATTTGTTCTAAAAGATAGGTTAGTTTGTTAATAAAGATCGCTTAGTGTGTTGTTAAAGATCGCTTAGTTTGTTCTTAAAGATCGCTTAGTTTGTTCTTAAAGATCGCTTAGTTTGTTCTTAAAGATTGCTTAGTTTTTTTTTAAAGATCTTTTAGTTTGGTCTTAATGATCATTTAGTTTTGTAAAAAAAGATTGCTACGTTTTTTCTTAAAGATCGCTTAGTTTGTGTTATTAAAAGATCATTTAGTTTGATCATAAAGATCACTTAGTTTGTTCTTAAAGATCATTGATTTTGTTCTTAAATATGGCTTAGTTGTTCTTAAAGATCATTGAGTTTGTTCTTAAAGATCATTTAGTTTGTTTTTATAGATCTTTTAGTTTGTTATTAAAAATCGTTTAGTTTGTTCTTAAAGATCGCTTATTTTGTTGTTGAAAATCACTTAGTTTTTTCATAAAGATCGTTTAGTTTTTTTCTTAAATGTCGCTTAGTTTGTGGTTAAATATCATTTAGTTTATTTCAAAGATTGCTTAATTTGTTCTTAAAGATCGCTTTATTTGTTTTTAAAGATCGTTTAGTTTGTTCTTAAAGATCACTTAATTTGTTCTTAAATGTCGCTTGGTTTGTTCTAAAATGTCACTTAGTTTGTTGTTAAATATCACTTTCGCTGATAACCGAAAACCTGAGTCACTTTCGGCCGGATGGCCGAAAGTCTAAGTCAATTTTGGCCAAAACCGAAAAAAAACAAAAACGAAAGTTAACTTCTCTCTTTCGGCCGAGACCGAAATTAAGCCGAAAGTTAACTTTTCACTTTCGGCCGAAACAGAAACTTGGCCGAAAGTGATAAAATTGCCACTTTCGGTGCCGAAACCGAAGCTGAAATTTGGTCGGTCTCTAACTTAGGATTTGAGTGACACTTAGGTTGTTGTGAGTATGTATAAATAAGTTAAAGATGTAACACAAAGGTTAGTGAAATATCTTTGGGGGGGGGGGGGGGAGTTAAGCATGGAGAACAGAAATGATTGTTCTTAAAAATTGAATGGAGAAAAAATGTTCTGCCAAGTTTATGTCTGAATGCTAATCAAAGCTAACAATATTATGCTGAAGTTAAATATACTATTAACATTGTGGCACAAAACACTGCACAATCCCAAAATGCTGCAATATACCAGGAAAAAACATTACAATTACATGAAAAAAAAGAAAAAATACTTTTAAAAAACATGCTTGAAAATCAAATTAATGCCATGAAAAAATGAAGTATGCAGCTACCACTAAACTTACCTTAAATTGAGATGATTTTTTATTAGCCTCCTCCAATTCCTGCACATACCAGCTGACTGCAGGTATAGACATGTGGGTGGCATTCATAACGCACAGTGCCAGCTGGATGATGGATGAAGCCTTTTCTCGCAGCCTCATTTCATCTTCAGTTTCCAGTGAAACACGCAGCTGCAAATGAACAATACAGCCTAACAATTCAATAATGTCAGCAGTACAGCAGTACATAAATGTTTACATGTATCAATGCAATAACTTCTGTTAGTGAGATTTGTTAATTGAGACTTAATTCACACAATTTTATTATTGGCTTAATTTGGTGATGTATATTTATTGTAATTTTGAGTATTGTCTAGACTGTCTTTGGGGTATGTCCACATTTGTTGACAAAGGTTTACTGAAACTTGTAGAGGATGGCTGTGCATTATTTCTCCATCTTAAAGCGAGTTGTGTTATACATCTGTTTGATCAAATGTACAGCCTAATAGATATGTTTCTGGATTAAGGTTTACATTGTTAATGGAAAAGGACTTGTGCACGATATGGTGTGACTACGATGATGTATGAATGTGTTAAAGAATATGATGAAAGAAAACCATCAAATACGGATATGTGACAATGATAATCGAATTGTAATGCTTGTTTTTTATTGATATAATTTTTAGTCCACCTAATTTTTTTTTAATGCCTTCATAAAGAGCAGATAGACACATTTTAAAGCAGATAGACATTTAGACACATTGTAAAGCAGATAGACACACTGTATTAGACACATTGTAAAGCAGATAGACACGTAGAAACATTGTAAAGCAGATAGACACCATTTATTAGACAGTGTTGGCAGGTTATTCTATTAACCATCTTTGAAATATACCTGCAAATGACATTTTTTTTAAACTGCTGCACCTGATAAAGTTATATTTACAGCTCATAACTTCAAATTAGATTTGATTCTAAATATAAACATTTATTGACTTACCTTTTCTGTCCTTGCCGGCTGCGGGCAATAAAGTGGGGGGGCAGGCAGGTAAAAATCTTTGGTGACCAATGGAGTGAACTGCCTGGCCACGGCCTTGAGCTTGCCGACCAGCTCCCCGAGAAGCCATGAGCCAACCTCTGTGTAACCCATCACCCCTGCCAGTGCAATATCTTCCAGGATCTTTGTCAGGTGGGTCAGGTCAGAGTTGCCACTGGTGACCTCTAGATCTGCGGCGCCAAGAGGAGACAACACTTTCAATTGAAACAGCAACACTGACACAGATTCAGTATCATCTCAATTAGGGTAAGTGCCATATTCAATGGGGGGAAAAGTAGATAATAAATATTATAGTCCCAGAATAAATTTGCACCCCCCCCCCTCAAGATCTGTGACATCTTTTATGGATGGCCCCCATAATCAGAGAATCACTCACCCTCTTTTACCAATCTTTCGAGCCTCCTCTTCATGATAGCATCAGGATTGAGCCATTCTGGCAGGATGAGAGGTTTCTTGGCACTTGAAATAGAAGAAGAAATGTTTCTTTTAATCTATTTCACATAGGAGAATGGTCAATGGATTAGGAGTGCTCATAATTTTCTGCCCACTTTAAACAGAGCTGAATAAGTGTTGTGCCAATCATACTTAGGGACTAAACAGTTACACTGACAAAGTTATCAATTAACTGATTGTAAGAGTAAACCATAAACCGTGACCTTCACTAGAGCAAACAGTAACCTTCACTAGCTCATTAGCCTTATGGTAAGACAGTCTTTGCCCTGTAAGACCAAACAGTAACCTTCACTAGCTCATTGGCCTTATGGTGAGACAGTTTTCACTCTGTAAGACCAAACCATAACCTTCACTAGCCTTCATAAAGGTCTACCCACACAAAAAAAGTTTTTTTTTAAAATTTAATTTTATTGTAGAAATGACATTAGTTAAAAAATATATTTCTTATCTATATTTTGCTTGTAGTGTGGCTGCTTCCTTTTCACGACCAGCCCTCCCCTACTCAACATGTATTATATTAAAAGTACTGAGTGGAAGAAAAAAAAGCTGTCAAGCACCGAGCGTCATACGTGACGGTTGAACTCGGTTAAAAAGCTTGAATTGTTTCGGAGGCTATTATTATATTAATCAATAAAGAGCCATGGGTATGGTGTAGGACTTTCTGTACGACTGTCTGTAGGACACTGCCTTTAAGCCTATTGTTTAAAGGCTGGACGTTAAGGTGTAGGACTGTCAGTATGCCTCTTATTTAAAGGCCAGCAGGTAGGGTGTAGGACTGTCTGTTGGCCTATTGTTTAAAGGCCAGCAGGTAGGGTCTGTGTCTATTGTTTAAAGGAGACAAGTAGGGTGTAGGACGGTCTCTAGGACTATTGATTAAAGCCTGACATAGATTATAGAAAATGAGAAGTTAACTCTTTCTTTTGTAACGCTTGGACCCAGCAGGTATTTTCTCTAAATATCCGACCCGGTTAAGCCTTAGTTCATTTTATTTTCTATATGACATTAGTTTTAAAATATATCTAGTTTATTTTATTATTTTTGAAGCAAAAATTTAAGAATCCAATAATAAACTAAAACATCAAACTTCAGCCCATTGGCTAGCTGTAAAACTCATTGAAAGCTGATTCATGTTTTACAGCCCAAAGAAGATGCACAGTGAGGGCATCTGTTCATGATTTGATTGGTTGTGTGCCAAACAGCTTAAGTTCTATTATAAACAGTGTGAGACTATTTAGTAACAGTGTGTATAATTTAAAGCTCAAGAGCACCTGCCACCAATATAACCAGCAGTCTTCCTTACCTGGCATACAGTGGCACTGCCAGACGCTTGTGTAGTGTGTGAGAAACAGACAGCTGATAGGCTGACTTCCAATCTCCCATGCGGTCAGCAAACCAGGTAGCCTCACAGAGAAGTCCACTAAGGAGCAGGTATTCTAGTGTGCGTTCAACTGTCCACACAGAGCCCAATTTTTGGTGCCTTATGATGGTTGCTATGTCTTCATGATATTTAGGGATGATTCGGCTGTCTATTTGAAAATGAATGTTTTGCAGGCAAATTGAAATGAACTTATTTAATTTTAATTAATAATTGATAGCAGAAATATGCTCTAGAAAAACTTAATTTTTTTTTTACACATTATTTAGTTGTATTTTAATTTAAATAGTTTTAGGAGTCGTTCATGAATTACATCATGGTGGGGGGGGGGGGGGGGGGGGATTTGTGAGAGGGGGACGGGGGGCTGAAAAGTTCTTTTTTTTTCATGTGACGTAATTTACGAACGAGCTCTTTTTTCTTTTAGTGGGAAATAAATTCTTAACTGAAAGGGATACTCTAATTTTTAAAAAAACACAAAATAATGATATCAAACTTACTGGCTATGGAGGTCTCAAAATGAACAGCAGGAAGAGGTGTTGGATTGTGGGGTGGGAAGATGAAGACCATTTGGTTAGTAAAGTAGGCAGCCATAAATCTCCCCATGGATTGAACTACTTGCCTGATGGCCCTGTCGCGTATGCACGGCACCATATCAGGCTCATCAAGTGCCTAAATAAATACAGAGATAAATTATTAATTATTTTTGTAATTAGTAAACTAATTATTCTTAGTAAAGTTTTTGATTATAATGTGAAAAAGAAAAATATTTGAACAAAACTTTTTCTTAAAACACAAACTTGACCCGGGCTGTGTTCTGCCAGATACTGAAACTGGAAAGTTGGTGCTGTAAAAGTTGTTGCCTCTTTAATGTGTAAATAATTTAAATCTATGCATAATGCCTCAAAAGTAAAAGATTCTGGGGAATTCTGGCAAGTCAGTGAATATAAAATAAATTTTTCAGAACAAATATTAATACTGCATTAGTTACCAGGGTCTTGAGTGTAGTGGTTACAAAGATCATAAGGGATGGTTGAAGATTATGGCTTGAAACTTTTTTATTTGGGTCAAATTCTTCCACTTCACAAGAATTGGCTTTCGCAATCAGAGTGTCCACAAAAGAAACTGCGGTGGTTAGGTCATTACGTAGGATGTAGGTGTACAGCAAGGAATGAAACAGGCGCGCTGCATTTTTTACATTGCCCACCTCTGAAATTGTCAAATGTAATCAGTTTAAGAAATGCATTTAACCAAATGATCTTAACTTGCTTTATTTTATCTTTTTTTTTTTTAACTTTCCAGATTTATTCTAAAACCATTTATGAATTTTACTTATGAAATATGTAATAAATGTGCTGGCAAAAGTGTATTTGATTGACACTGTTTTAATCATTTAATGACATATGCTTAGTTCAATATCAGTTGACCTTGAAATTTCTTGAGCTGTTTTTGCCAAGCATTCATAGCCAATGTGTGTTTCCCATCAAGACTAAATCTCTCACCTGTAAATGGTGTGAACATTTTCATACACATTTTTAAAAAAATAATTGTGTCTAGACAGAATGTTAAATTTTGATATGACCTTATTATAAATCTATTTTAACTATTTCTCGCTTAGTGGATGGTATGAAATATGCAATATTTTTATTAATAGCATAAGACTTATTACATGTGAAATGCATTGTGTTTCTTACATACCACTATTTATAAGCGGGGCTTGAATAGGAACAACATCAACATCAAGTTCTATCAAACACTGTTGTATGGCACTCTGCAGAGTCTGGGCCTGTCTCATGTCATGGGCGCTCTCCTCATTCCTTGACAGGAACTGTAAGACTGCTTTATGGAGGAGCTTCCACGTTGACGTTAGTCTGGAAAAGAAAAAAACAATCTTTAGACTGAATCAAAGCTTATCTGATAGATATTCATAATAATTTTTTAAAACTCTTTAAAATTTTCTAATATATTTTAAATTTTCTATGAAATTTAGTTAAAATTTGTAACGTTTTAGATTCAATTAAATTTAATAAGATATGCAAAAGGCAACATGAATTTAATTTCTTTCGATTAATACATTTTTTTAAAAATGTGAATGAGAATAAATATGCTTACCGTTTAGCCATCTGCACATCTGTTTGAGCTGATTCAACACTGCCATGTTTGAGGTCACCCTCCTCATCAGCTAGTCTGAGACTGGGGCTAAAGCCTTTTGACGTGAGTTTTCTAGGGAGGGAGATGTAATTCTGCACCATGGTCTTCTCTGTAAACTTGAGCAACGTGAAGCAACCTGTTAGAGTTTTCAGCCTAGGATCGGAGTCACAGAGTCCAACACTTGACAAAATAACAATCAACGTCTTATGGGCCAGCTGCAGAACAGACGCAAGAAGGTGGCGCTGTTGGCAGTCAAACTGCAGGAGATCCAACAGCTGCTTGTACATGGATATTACCTGGGAGTTAAAAATTATTGAACCAACCTAAATATTCCTTGTAAATTTTAAAAAATTTTAAATTATGTAATATTATTTAGTTTTGGAATGATTTGAAAACACTTGAAAGCAAATATCAAATTACTGACAATGCTTTTTAAAGCAATTGTTAGTGACCTGTTAAGTTATTTAAAAACAATGAGAGAATTTCCTCATTGTAGAATGCTTGAGATATGCTGCTACATTTACGGGTTAAAATCAGGGTATTTTAACATGTTTTCAGGATGAACATTTGCACAGACTCCTCCCTCTTAAACCACAACTTTGTGGGCTATGCATTGCTTCAGTGGGGAACAGGAGGTCGAAAAGAGTATTGGTGGAGGTTTTACATGTAAATACTTTTTTATTCCGACTCCAAAATCAATCTACTAATAGAAAAGTAGATTTATCACAAATAAAACTTGTAAAAGGTTTTTGGTCAGGAGAATGATCAGTGGGAATGGTCAGTTTTTATATTCAGTGGGACATTACGATTTACGTAGACACATTTTACTCCAACATCAAGATGTATGTTGTAAACTTGGGAGCTTTTGAATTTATTATTTGAATAAATTTTTTACAATCATGATAGCAAGCTTTGAAAAAATTGTGCAAGACAGGGGAAGACAATCTGACCATATTTCCTTTAGTAAGTGGGAGGTGGATATGCCTTTCACATCAGGCGACTGAAAAATGTCTGAGAAACACTGATTAAGACCACCTATTGGAAATCATTATTTCATTCAGTAATCATTTATCATTTCAGAAACAGGGTTTCTTTAAAATTGTTGAATGATTTAAGATGTATATACTTTCAACAATTACACAGATTAAACAAGTGTGTGGATGAATGATGCATTGAGTTTAGTCACCTTGAAAAGACTTTGAGTTGTGACGGTTGATGGTGTCACCAGGTGATCACCTGCTCCTTCCAGCAGATCTTTTATTTGGGGGCAGTCAAGTACCAGAGAGAAAAGCTTGACGATGTTATGGACTGTATGGGAGACAATTTTGTCTAAATTCGGTGACCACAGCTCAGAGGTTGAGGCTGCAAGTTTCCAGACATTAAACAGGTTCATCTTAGCCAGCTGCAATGCTTTCATGGTGGAATTTGGCTCATTCAGAAAAGAGCCCTCAGTCATCAAAAGCACCTCTGGTTCACCAAAGACTATTTTCCCAGAGCTCATGTTGTGGATTGCTCCTGCTTGCTGAGCACTGGCTTGATCTACACCAAGAGCACAGCTGACCTCACTGTCTAGTGTTTCATTCATGCTTTGGCTTGCTTCCTCAAAAGAATAATTCTTGGGGACTTTACTAGGCCTAATTTGCTTAACTCCTCTAGGGGTCTGCTTTACACTCTCTAGCTCCCCAGCTGGGAGGTTGTATGCATTAGCCAGGGTGAGATCAAGGCGAACAGTCTCCGCTATTTGCCTAAGGTGGGATGAGGACTCGAGGACCAGGTCACGCATGAAAATCATTGGACTCAGCTCACTCGGCAGCTGAGCTATTGTGACTATGTAGCCATCAGAGTAGAGTAAGATTGGTAGAGTTGGGTGAGTGGAAACTGAGAACTTTTGTTGTAATGGGTCTCTTTCTGAATTATAAGAGAATTGATGGTCATCCTCTCTCATCCTTTCTGACCTATAAATAGTTTGTAGAAAAGGTTTAAAAACAGCCTGAATTTTAAAAAATCATTTTAACAAGTATATATTATTTTATTGTGTTAAAATTTCTTTAAGATTTGAATTCACCTTTATTTGAAATTTAATATTTCAATCAAAATTAATCTTCTAGCATGACTGAATTAAATAACAAAATTTAATTGAATAGGTAAATGTTTTAAGTAGCGCTTACTGGACTGAAATCAGAGGTGTGAATGGTAGAAAATAAGCAGGTCCCATTTCAACAGAGCAACCCTTTGAGAAGAGGACCAGAGGTTCACCAAGACGAGACAGCAGGCCAGCAGATCCATTACGCAGAATTATTGCTAAGAACAAGTTGTCGCTTGTCCAGCTCATGTCTGCAATCCAGAATTGTCTGCCAAAAAAAAGCAATTCACTGTGACAAGCATGTGTGCCAGCATCCATACAGACTTACTTCACAATTAAAATACAACCCAAAATTTAAGAAGACAAAATCTGTACTTTTAATTTTGGAAACATTCACTATTATGAAAAAGCTTTGTTTTTATTTATTTATAATTGTGATCAATAAAATATAGTGTTTTTTTTATTTCCATTAACAAGTTAACTAACAAATTTTATCTGATGGAAACAAACCGCTTCCTTTTCAGGAAATTTAAAATGGTAACTGAAGGCTACTATTATATCATAGAGTCTATTAATCTGACAGTAACTAAAGTCATTTTTGTTAAATATTTTACCAAGTATAACAATTAAGGATTCCAACATCATTAAACTTTTTACCTTCCTCTCTTGACTGCTGGGTCCTTCAAACCACATCCTCTCAAGTCTGAAACAAGCAAAGTGTCTGTGAATGGAGAAACAAATATAACACTGGTCTGAGCAGGAGACTTCTGATTAACACCTATTGCCAAAAGTTGCCCATCATGAGTGTATTGACACACATAAGCTCCACGCATAGCCATTGGTTCACAGCCCTGTTGGATAGTTGTAAGTGGAATATTCAATGTGTTCCATATTGGCATTGGGGTTATGTCTTCATTGGCTGAGCTGGTGAAGAAAATGATGTGATTAGTTTTGTTTTTTGAAATGGTAGTCTTGTGTAAAAGACTTCTTGTGATGCAGGCTTCTTTTTAAAAAATACAAATAATACCCTTTTTATTAACTTAAAAATGTGTATGATATATTAGTTCTAAATAAGTTTTTTCCTGACAAGCCCTGTTTGGTTGATAAGATTGATTCAATAAAAAAGTTTTTGCTTCAAATAAATATAGGAGTAATATATTAAAATGTGTAAAATAGTTATTACACTATTGTAAAATGGTATCTTACTAATGGGATTTTCCTTACAAACACTATGTTTTAAAGACAGAGACAGTTGTATCTATGTTTATTACTTTAAAAAAAAGGATGGGTTTAATCAATATATCACAATGTTATGCCAGGAAGGTAACAGACAAGAAAACTTACTCAGGTATTATATCAGGATTGAACCGAATTAGAAGGGATGAAACACTTAAATGTTTCTTATGGTTGTGGACTATGCTCAACTGAAAGCAGTTTCCAGATGTCTGATAAAAATAATTTCAACAAAAAAAATTACAACCAGCAAAGAAGCATCTGTTCCCAAAATTAGACCCCAAAAAATCAGGTTATGTCTAATTTAAGATATGTACCAATAATTTGTATCAATCATTTTTCATGTTACTGTAAAAATGTTAAAAGTATATATATATTATGGTAATAAAAAACATAATTTAATTTAGAATTGAGAAACCCATGATAATAATTGAAAATAAGACTTTGATAAACTAAAATTAAAAATCATGTACTAAATAGAGGGGTTTTATTACTGTTTAGAATGTGTCATAATCTTGTTTTTTCTAAGGCATGATTAATATTTTAAAAAACAGATTAATAATACTTTTGACCAATCAATAAAAATAGTTTTGAAAAAAGATTTAATTTTTTCAAAAGTCAGTTAAAATGTTCTGATTATGGTCATAATAAATAAAGTAGACTGGTTAAAAATTCAAAAATAAAATTATGTCCATAAAAAATCATTAAAGTAAATGAAAATCAATCTTCAAAATCAGGTAAGGTATATGTTGCATCTAAAATTCAAATAATATTTAAAATTCTTTTTGAATAGGTTTTAATCATCAGACCAAATATTAATGAAATTGCATGCTCACCTCATTGCTGGCAAAGACAGCATGCATACCAGCTTCCTTACATCCAGTTGGTGGTAGATAGATCAAACCTGGTATGGTCAGTTTGGACCAGTTGCCCAAAAGGGTGTTATTTTTGGAATCCCCAGCATGAATCTGTCTTTGCCAAAGGAATATATGACAATTAGCGACCACCAAAAGCATCTGGGAGCAGTCGGGTGAGGAGAAGACCCTACAACCATCTGTGGAAAAAAAAAATTCATGTAAACAAATATATTTTTGTTTTGTTACAAGATTAGGAAAATATATAATCTATTTTGATACTCTATATAAAAATCCAAGTTTAATATCTATGGTCAAAAGTAAAAAAAAGAAAGCTATTCAAGCATAAACCATTACAAAGACTTCAGATTGTCAGATAAATCTTATTGTTATTGTTTCAGTAGTTTTCTCATACCTCCTAAAGTAATTTCTCCACTGAGAAGAAGACCTGGGAGTCCACATATAGTTTTGAGTTCATCTCTGTCTTTGTGCCATACAAAAATTTCACCAGAAGACTGGACACCCACCAGATATAAACCTTTCCATTGATTAGAAACACAAACCATTACACAGCAATAACTAAATATCAAATGATTTTTTAAAATTTAAATATTTTCTACATAAAAAATCAGGAGCTAAATTATTTTCTTATTTTTAAAGTAATGATTATGGCTTTTAAATGAGCAACAACAAAAAATGTACCTCCTAAAGTTGAAGTAATAGTTACTGTTTCTGATAGCAAACTAGACAATTTTGTTATATTTCTTTTTGTTTTTCCTGATGGTATATATAAAACGCTGACACGCTTGTCATCCAATAGAAATAAACTCTGGCGGTCCTGTAAATAAAATTAGCATACCTTATAACATGGCCTAAAAAAAAGCTTACTAACATGTAATTTACATAATGGTGTACTAAATGATATTTTGTCAGATTCAAATAACAAGATGTATAGCGTTTTCAGTATTAATGATGAGAGAAAATTTATATAATAAATAGTGTTTATTAAGTCTACAGAAATGTATATTCATTATTAAAATATTAGTAACAAACTTAATGTGGTTTAAATGCTATAGCAAAATAAAAAAGGACAAATTTTTTGGAGTTATTAAATGCTAATTCTACTGTTTAATATATTCAGCCTAAATTATCACATTTGCAGGCAGACGAGATTGTCAATATTTTATATTATTGTAAAATTATATTTAGCAAAAATTTTATAAAATTACCTTTCCAAGCCATATTATCCGAGACCAAGGTTTCCTGCGTTTTATGCTGGTTGAAGCTAATACTTCGAGGCCTATTTTCATGATGTAAAGCTAGTGAGTTGGCTAAAACAATCTTCACTGCCTAAAAAAAGTACAAAATTACAAAGCCGTTTTTTCACAAAAAAAAGGTATAACTGTTTTTAATATCTGCTTAGCATTACGCTTTATAAGAAAAAGAATAATGATTATAGATAAAGAATATTAAAAAATTTAAGGTTGTATAAAATATATGTTAATGACTTATTTTAAAAGCTAAAGCTGAATTATTAGTTAGAACTTGTTTTATACTTATACTTATTTTCAGCTGAGAGACACCTTTTTTTCTAAGATTCAAAGGCATTTGAAAATTCATTTCAGCTTCAATAAAAATGCCTATTTTATTCTGGCCAACAGATGAGGCTGAAAATGTATTATTATTTATATGCCAAAATTATTAAGTTCCTCATTATTTAAAAGTACAAATTTCTACTTTTAATTTTTTATGTACTGATGGTGTAGAAGAAAAAAAAGAAAACCAAATATTTAAAGCTACATTTCAAACACAATAACTTTTAATGCTACACATTTCAAACACTATCACAGCAAGGGCAGGTTACGAGTATATTTATAAACTGTATTTTTTTTAATTGTACTAGACATTTTTTTAATAGGATGTTAGCATATTTAAAAAATTATTTCATATAATGCCAGTAAACTGAAAATGAGTAATCTCACACATAAAGTGCTAAATTAATTAAATAATGATTTCACTAATACTAATAGTATAGCCCGTGATATTTAGTACTAATGTAATGTCTTTAAAAGAATGTAACTGGCTAAATTGAACTACAGCTGAGAACCATGAACTAAATACAACAGCCATGAGCTATAGCTCAGAGGATTCCAACTACAATAATGAGGGCTTTTGATGACAAGACAAAGTGCCCAAAAACTGAGTTCATGAATGAGTCAAAATGTGCAGCATGTTCTCCACGCTGAGCCTTCACTACTAAGGACATGGCAAGGGAAAGGACAAAAGTTTACCTTGGAACTGGCTGAGGGGAGTCAGAAACCTTTTTTGAGTGAGGAGTCATTTGTAAAATATTTCATCCGAGTGAGGAGACTTTTTTAGCATATCTGCTCAGAAAACATTTTGGGAGACACAGGCAGGGGTGTATGTAGTAAAATTAAAATTAAAAGCAGCATCCATTCCCTCAGAAAGATGCATGCCCCTCCAGAGCCTTAGGGTACCCACCACTGGGATAAGAAAAACTGCACAGCTGTTACTGAACTATAACTACAATACAAGGACATGACATAGAAAGATATGAAGGTGCCAACATAAGTTAAGACAATTCATTTGGTTGGCATGGCATTGGTGACTGTCATTGTGGCTGGCTAACCGAAGTTTAAAAGACCAAGGTGGTGAGAAATGAAAGCCTTGTTAAAATAAGAGAAAAGGATAAAGAACAAAATCCTTATAAATATAAAATTTGTTTATGATTTATGTTAGAATATGTATCACACCTGTGAAAAGTGCAGCAGAAACATCAAAGAATCAAAGCATGTTGTTAATAGTTAAGAGTAATTAAGACTGAATCAGTTTAAGTTACACCTAAGTTTTAATTGTAAATTATAGATTGTTAGTAGAAATCGTCGTTTTCAAATCAAAGTCGTGTGTCATAGTAAACATCATAAAGAGTTCGAAAAGTTACAGCAGCAAAAAAAAAAAAAAACTTCAACTACATGATTCATATTTGATCGAGTCATGAACATAAATATTTAGGCCCATCATAAGATGAATTAAAAGGCAATGGTTGTGCTTTGCAAAAGATTATTAAAGATCATACATTTTAGTTACATAAGCGCACACTAAGATATATTATTTTGGACTTCAGAGGCAACATTACTCCTTGTTTCGTGTCAAATCTTGTTTCATTTCTGGTGCAGCCATTTGTAAACCTATACCATGATGCAGTATAGTGAAGGAAATGAACCTATAGAACAGATAATTTAAATTGTTTCGTTCTCTTCTTGGTGTTTTTTCTTTCTTTTTTTTTTTTTTTTATTAATTTAGTGACAGGAAACTTTAAAAGAATCCAACGCGCAACCCCGGGATAAGAAGTACATTTTTGTACTGTAATCATTTTATTTTTTAAAAATCATGTGAAAATAATTCAGTGATGGTATTTTCCCATCTTTAATTAACTTAGAACCAAAATAAAGCGGCCCGCGTCTATTTCCATGCGCGCACTTTTACGTCTTAAATCGATCCCTATGCCGCATGCCTAACCAGTACTAACCTGAACCCTAAATCGATCCCTATGCCTAACCCTAACCCTAAATCTATCCCTATGCCTAACCCGAACCCTAAATCTATCCCTATGCCTAACCTGAACCCTAAATCGATCCCTATGCCTAACCTGAACCCTAAATCGATCCCTATGCCTAACCTTAACAAAGTCGACGTGGGACGCTAAATCTGAAACAGCCTAAATATGATCAGTTCTCATTTAAATTTGATCAGTTCTCATTTTCAAATCCTTTATATTAACTTTGCTTTTGTCCTGGTTTTTCTTCCTGTGTTTGTGCCAAAATCTTCGGATGGCTAATTGACCCACTTCCTGTCAACTTATCGAGTTGAAATTTGACCACTAGACTCGTTGCCGATTACAACATATTAGGCTTTAATCAGTTTTAACGCTTCCAGATACCACTGATGTCACGAAATAAAATTCCCTATAATGATGACTGCACTAAATGAAAATTCTTTAAAATATCACATGTGCGTAAGGTGCGTAATTTATTCTTTTTTTTTTTTTATTTTTTATTTTTTTTTTATTTTACTTAAGTAGTTGATGTAATGAATCTGCGATGTTAGAGTGCGTGGGTTATTAGATTATTAATATAGTTCAGGGTCGGGACGAAAATATACGCTTGGGAGCCTTGTGTGGGAGGGGGTGAGAACTAAATGAGATTCTTATAAAATACGTTAGGCCTACTTCTCTCCATCTTTTGTCAAAATTTTCACGACCCCACCCCCAATAGCTCTATATCACATTTTATAAAGGATTCATATGAAAATGTTGTTTCAAGGGGTTGTTTAATTATTTTTTACTACCATAGTTTATTTTTCGCTCCTTTTTTTTTCTTTGTTATCTTCTTTCTTTTTTTTTTCCTTCTTTTTTCTTTTTTAAAATGATTATTGGAGACAAAATATTGTTTTTACAGCCTATTTTATTGAAGGACCTAGATATAAAATTTGCTACTATTTGAAAGAAAGATATTTAAATAAATATTGGAACAGGATATGTTTAGGCCAGTGGTCAGAAAATTCATTAATCAAAAGAGTAAAAAATCAGCACCAGGACGATTTACAAGAATTTTGAGAGCCAAATTTCTTTTCAATAAACTGTCAAGAACCATGTTTTCGGAGTCAAACTCCATTAGTGGCAGACCGGCCGAGCCGCACTCATGTCACTAAAACGCCACATGCGGCTCGCGAGCCACGATTTGCCAACCACTGGTTTAGGCTTTTTTTTTTTAAAGACAAGTCAATCGAAAGGACTTTCGGCTTAATGGTTTCTTCAGCAGACAATACAAAACTAGAAACAACGGATAATTGAATTAAAAAATAGAAAGAAATGTATGATTTCGAAAATATCAAAAAAGTCAATGTAGCTTCATGTTCAGAACACAGAGTGCTTCCTTTTCTGACCATTGAAAGGTGATAGACGGGGACATGAAAGGGGGAAGGGCAAGGTTTGGGAAGGAGAGTGAAGTGGAAGGATGGAGGTTGGGTGTTAGTACTGTTAGCCATCTGAGAAAGGGGTTTGATGGAATATATTAATTAATTTTAAGGATGTAAGGTGGTAAAATAATTAGTTAATGCGGGGTTTAACCAAGGGAGTACAATAAACTTGGGAATAATGGAAACTCACAGTATTATAGGGCCCATTATTGAAAGCATTTTTTTTTAAAAACAATTAAATTGTGATAGCATACATCATACAGACAGACATTTTATAATTTGGACCCAAACGGTCACAAAATGTGTGACTGCGTTCACTTTGTGACGTCTCCCGTAGCCCCCTGACGTTAATCATTATCTAGTACAAATTGTGCTACATCCAGTGCCACATTATATATTGGGTAAGATAGACAGCATGCCCATTGCACCTGAAGCTCAGTGGGACCGGAACTAGAAGAAGATGTCACAATTACTTTATATCGAAAGCGCAACCAGCAGTTGGAGCCTTTATTCAGAAAGGAGAGTAATCTAGAATTCTGTTCCAATATTGAGGGTTTCATGATTGCCTTAAAAATCACTCATGAGCCACAAGAATGGAGATTATTTGTAGACTTTGAAACTGAGTATTCAGGCTGTGTCTTTGCACAATGAAAACCGTCTTCCATCTCTCCCAATAGCGCATGATGTCCACAAAAGACATACGATAACTTAAAGCAGCTAACGAATTCCATTGAGTATAACAAGTACAACAGTTACTATCACCTCTGTAGCAGGGCTGCCATTCACTTTTTAAAAATAATAAATTCCCAAAATTTCCAAAGATCATAAAGATATATAAGATTATTTTTTAATGGGTTTTCTATGTAATTAATACAATAATAGTTTGAATTAATGCCTCTGAAACACATGGTACAGTAATTGACTGAAATTTATTTAATAAGACTAAAGACATTTAAAAAAATGTTTATCACATAAAGAAATTAACAATTTGTTTTTGAAATGAAATATTAATTTATAATGAAAAATTTCAATACATACTGGAGTTAGGCTACTAAATATTACCTCCAAATTCTCTGGTAAAAATATCATCTACAATACATGTGTAATAGAAGTCACTTGGAAACAAAGCTCACAAGGCGAATCAACACAGAATTCCTTTTACAAAGGCATAGGGTTTTTCATCAAAAATGTTTTCTTCTTATTGTAAGTCTGTTGATGGGGTTTGCAAAGCAATTAAGCAGAATTTAATAATAATAATTGTAGTTACAATGGATTGATATTATTATAAAACTATTATGAAAGAAAAACGTATTTTGTTATTTTTCTTGTAAATTTATATTATAATAATTTTTATCAAACAAAATACTGTTTAAACGAATTTTTCATTTATAATCCTACCATGTATAATTTTAATATCTTAATTACCTGTGTGTCAAACCACAATTAGACCTCTATGTTTTTCCAATAGATGAAAATTAGGTTGGATTTTTTTACAGATGCATCACAGTTTTTCCACAAAGAATGTTTTATAAATCTAATCAAACACACACTGTAGAAGTAATTGAAATTCATCCAATTTTACTATGGATTCTTGATTGAACACATCACATTGTAACATTTTATGTCTGGCCTGGTGTGTTGGCTTTTTATTTTCTATGACTAATGATTATGTAGGCATAAATGGCTGTTGGGGTGACAATGTTGGCTTACAGATGGAGTTTCATTAATTTTGTCTCACCAATGTTCAAGAAATATATTTAATACAATACAATATTTTCCCTACGAAATAAATTTGAAACAATCTCAACACTTTATTTATGCATTTCAATAATTATTTCTTTTGAGATTATAAAGATTTACTATGAACTAAATTTCTTCTTCTTCTTCAATGTCTGCAGACAGGTGGAGAGTTCTATTTATTTTTTTTTAATACAAAGCCTTTTCTTATATCTTTTGTGAACAGACTCATCTCTAAAAATTCTTATTAAAGTTTCCTTTGAGATCCAGTTACACGTACTACAAGTCATGATACATCTATCTATAAGCAGTTTTGCAAGGAGTCTATCTCTAACTGAGTCTGTTTTTAAATAATTAGTTTTTTTGTTTTAATGCAATTAATCTGTGAGAAGATTCTATCTACATATGCGGAAGAATGTGTTAAAACTGTCAAGTGCTTCATGAAATAACATAATATAGAAATTTTTTTTTTGATTTAGATCGTCATTAAGATCACTTAATAAGTGCCAATATTGTGGAATACTCTTATTAATATATCCAGCAATAAATAACTCACTCTTTGCTATGTCTTCATCTTCTGTGGGTTTTTTAAAATATTTTAATAAACTGACTTATGCTGTGTGTAGACTTTGTAATTTCAACATTATTTTTATGTTTCACCAGTGTTTATGTTTCATCGATGAGGACCTATTTGCATTTTCATTGTGAATTTGCAACATTAACAAAAGCTAGAATCAGCATTATCCTTGTCCTGCAGTAGCCAGTCCTTGAATTCAGGATCTTTAAACTTTAAGCCGTTCTAAGTTAAAACTTTGATTATAAAATTTAACGTTTTTCTCTCATTTTTCCAGATTTGTTGAATCCATACCTGCTCATTCACTCTTTGGACTTGTACTGTTTTTCGTAGTCGTATGGTTGCTAATGTCTATTAGCCTAGGGTTACCCGACAAACAATCTGCAGAAGCGGTACTGAGCACAAAACTCTTGACTGACCGCTCACGAAGAGCAGAGTCGCCAGACTCGATCTAGCGAAATGGAAAACCATAATGCCCTAATTGACCGAGGCCAAGGGCCTCCCCGCTGCTTATCAGGTGTCGTGTGGTAGCCTGGCTCACCCCCCACACCCTCTGCAATTTGGGGGATTTTTGTCCAAATTGGCCCGAGAAAACCGACAGGCGGGGCAAACGAAGACTATTCCCTGACTTGTTCCCACCGCCGCGGAAAACCAACTCCGACAATTTCTATCCAAAATTGCTGCAACCAAAAGTTGTTGGAACAACGGAGCATGTGCCACCGACCAGCCTTTCTTTCTAGGGTTACCAGACGTTCGTATTTAGTACAGATATTTGCATTTTCGACCCCGTTGTCCGTAATAATTTTTGCGTCCGTATTTGTCCATACTTTCCTCTCGTCGTCCGGCTTGTCCATATTTTTGGAAGTGACGACTTGCTTGTCTATTTCTATTTGGCCTATCTAATTTTTCCGCCAAGGCCAGTGCAGTGAATAGTTCCATCTCCATCTGACAGCCCAAAAATAGCTTATTTATATCTCCAATGTTGTAATAATATCACACAAAAATTGTATAGGAATTATCGTCATAGTGTTACCATTTCTTTTCACAAAGGAACTCGCTATATATCGCTTCAATAGTACTCAGTAGTAGCAGTTTAACAGTAGTATTTTGCGTTACAAAGTCATCCCTTTTAAAAGAGAAATTAAAAAATCTACATTTTACCACATTGAAATAGAAAACGCAACATTACAAAAACTACATACGAGAATACCCATTCTAAGTCTTTCATCCCTTGCATTCATAAACAACACAGGCCACTATACATCTAGGAGATAATAGCTAGCTGGAAAAGATAGTAAGACAACATCACCCCAGCAGGTGTTTGCGAAATAGATATTTTTTCAAATCGGTTTTGAAAGACTGCAATGTCTGGCTGTTTCTGAGAGCGACAGGAAGTGTGTTCCAAATTGTTGGGCTAGCAAATGCAAACATGCGCCTTCCGTAAGTCTCAAGGCGAACACGTGGAATCGAGAGTTTGCCACTATTGGATGAGTGGAGTTGTCTAGTGGGTACATATGGTGTTATGAGCGCTTTGAGATCGGACGGCGCCAGGTCATGCAAGCAGCGGTAGCACAGAGTTGCAATTTTGTACTCTATGTGACGCGGACCGGCAGCCAATGCAACTCTCTCAGAAGTGTTTTAGCATGGTCAAATTAGCGTTTGGGAAAAACAATGCGAGCCGCATTATTCTGTGCTTTTTGAATTTTATCCAGGAAGCTGGAAGACCCACCATGAGAGCATTGCACTAGTCCATGCGTGATAGCATAAATGCAGACATCAGCCTCTTTGTTGCACCAAAAAAGGTCTGATATGACTAATTCTGCGCAGCTCTAGAAAAATTGTCTTGCAAATCATGTTAATGTGATTTTCCATAGATAGTGTTTTGTCTAAGTAGACACCCAAGATTCGCACTGTTTGAGCAAATTCAATCTGTATACCTGAAAGAGAAAGAGATGGCGTTTTATTTACAGATTTTAACTTTTGAGCGGTATCAATAGGGATTAGCTCGGTCTTTTCATCGTTCAATTTGAGTTTGTTTATGTTCATCCAGCGCTTAACTGACTCAATGTCTTCTGTGTCATACTAAGATGCTGCTGAAACTGAGAGGGGGTCACGGATTGCTGAAGTTGGGTATCATCCGCGAACATGTGATAGAGTACATACGTATAAGCCAATTTTGAATTGTCTTTGAGGGCTGCATTCAAATACTTTGCACTACCGGTTGGTGAAGTTTGGTTTAAATTGTGGTTAGTGTTGAAAAATCAAGCTTAATAAGTCACGTCATGAATTAAAAACAAATACTTCTTTATTAAAATTGTATTTACTAAGTTTCAATACCCGAAAGACACAATCTTTAAAAATATGTACAATGACCTGAAAATTAATTCATACATAGTTTTTAATTTGTTGTCAACACATGTACAGATCATTTCTTCTTTTCCTCTCCTAGTTTTCTTTGTTCTTCAAGTTTTTTTTCTGCTTTTTTCCATTCTTCTGATAAGTTCATAAAAAATAAGTAAAAAAAACTGTTTGCCCTATTGAGGGATCTGTTGCCCTGTTCTTGAACTTTCTGGCTTGAATACTTGACTTCATCTCGAATACGGTTAAGTGCATCTGTTTCTTTCAGTTGTTCAAGTTTTTCTTCACCTGAAATTGAGTTTAAAAAAATATAAACAAGCAGATCTGATTTTTCTGGTAACATTTTTAAAGAAAAACATGCATCTCAAATCTAAACAAGGCTAATAAAAAGATGGATTATGATGGGCTTTCAAAACAATCTCTTCTTTTGGAGTTAAAAATTTCCAATTAAATTTTTTTTCCCACTTAAATAAAAGATGTATCAAGCGAACAAAAGAACAAAACTGTATCTTAAATTTAAATTAAGACTTTTAATTAATATTTGGAAAATATTATCTCTTGCCCCAATATAAATCATGCTATAAACTATCCAGATCGACCGGAAAAGACAATGTTTACCAATTTCTTTTCCTTTATGCATAAAGTAAGCTGTAAGTTGTGCTGCTCTTCTAATTGGATAGCTGTCAGCTATCTGGAAAAATATAGTAAAACATGGGCTTAAATCAACACTAAATATCAGAAGGGCTGGCTATTCAAGTCATTTAAATTTAATCAGTTACCCAGTATTTATTTCTTTGTTCAAAGAAAAGAAATGAGAATCACAAGGCAGATGATCCAATACATTTACACTTCAGTTAGGTTCAAGGTTAGTGCTCACATTCTTATTTAAATATAAAAATCATAAAATAATTTTACTTAAAAACATAAGATATCAGTGTACAACCTAGAAATAAGAATATCCTAAACAAGATTCCTGCCCAATGCTTCCATCGAATGTGTTTATTAATACATTTACTCTAATTAAATTTCAGCATGCAACATTGTTTTATTTGCTCTATGCAATAATTTGATAATTTAATTATAAAATCATTCATATAATTATAAGCCTACATACTACGTAAAGAATTTAAATGTCAATATTTTGGGCTCTTCTAAAATGAATATAATTTTTGTGTTAATGGGCTATCAGACTTAAACATTCTTAATCTCTTATGAGGATATACAAAATGTTTATAATTAAAATTACTTATTAACTGCCCTCATGGATAAAAGGAATTTGAAATATTTTATGATCATCAAATAGAAAGGAAAGCCGAGGGAAAACTCAATGTCTCAATTATCAATATGTAAATTAGAGGGTATTTTTTATTTTAAAATGTGGGAGAGGGGTATGTGCAATTGTGCCACAACATGAAGAACTATATTAAAGGGTTGCTGCATTGGGAAGGTTGAGAACCACTGGTCTAAAAGAATTGTCAATATAATCTTGTTTTATATAATGGAACTGATGGTATGGGTTATGTTCAAATTTTCTACCACTTTGGGTTGGTTCAAAAATCATGTTTGTTGTTTCTAAACTCGATTTCAGTAAGTTAAGTAGGGTTAATTAAAACAGATCCAATAATATACATTTTAAAAGGAAATTTATACTTTCACTCTAAATAATTTCTTTCCTCTCAATTCATGGTAACTTCATCCGATCCATGTTTACTCAGCCAAACCATGACAACAACAAATGATATTAAAGCGGAAATGATATCCACCAACCCAGTGTACTCTTAATAATAAGTTTTTTCTTTTGTGAATGTACCCAATAGGTTAAGAATCAAGAACATGTAGTTTTCCATATTGTAAAAAAGAGAAATGGTTCACTTAAACTTAAACAAGCTGCATCTAATCTGTTCACCTTTTGAATTAACTGTTCATTGTTGAGGAGGTATCTGAAAAGAAACAAAATAATAATGAAAGTTTCATGAAAGCATTTGAATTTAAAGTATTCACTAAATCTTTCAATAATTTTAAAAAATCTTTAGTTACTAGGTACTGTAGTAATAAGCAGTCTGATACTGATAGTCAAGTTTGGACAGTTTGAAATGAAAGTTGAAAGTATTAATAATAAGATATTTAAAATGATTTCACAAATACTTTAGTTACTGTTGGACTCTTGTTGTACAATACATTTACAATGTAATTCGTAAAGAAAACTGAACAAAAAATCTTAAGCAGTAATAACTTTAATAACTGTGAGTAATTCATCAAATGCATAGAATGCCTAACATTTTAAAGAATGCCCATGAGTTTTTGGCAACATTAAAAATCCCTATATTTTTCTTTGACTTTACCCACATTACCTTGAAATACATTTTAAAAAATTATTAATGCACAAGTTTAAGAAGTTTGCAGCATTACAGTCTTTTATTTATTGAATCAGGTTGAATTGTAATGGCATAGTAGCTTTTTCATTGCACAAAACCATTTCCTAGTTCAACAATTTGAATTAACCTGTCCTAAAACATTTGTGTCCAGTTTTTATGTTGCAGCAGACATCTTCCAGTGCCAGAGAATATTTTTTTTCACACACACTAAAATTGTAACCTGATATAATGTAATGGCTATTTTAATGACACTTTAATTTTAATAACCAACATACATTTTTCTTCTTGGTGAATACAAACTAGGTGAGCACACAAGCTATAACAGTAAGTTGAAAGTCTTAATTAAACTAAAAAATTTAGTTTAAAATAGAACAGTCTTAAATTACTCTATTTATTACCAGGTCTTGTCTTATTCAAAATTATTTATATATTCTCAATCTTAATTTTTATCATAGTATATTCTTTATGAATATGATTATTATTATATATTTATTTATTTAGGCTTTTTTTATATAGTGCTTACCATAAAGCTCTAAGCGCTTTACAATTATTAAAAACATGTAAACTAAGCAAAATAAAAATGAGACACTAGGATAGTAACTACTATACTATAGAAACAATGAAAATGGCTATAAAAAGAGGACACTTTGACACGTTTTGGCCTATACCTCAGGATCAACCCGAAACAGAAAATGAGGCAGGGCAAGGAGGGTGCATCACAGGTCAAAGGCGGACCTAAACAGATGAGTTTTAAGGGACTTTTTGAAAATGGACGAGGTTTCACAATGACGGATATGGAAGGGGAGCTGGTTCCAGAACATGGGCCCATGGAAGTAGAATGAGCTTTATGTTTTAATGGCACCAAACATTGCATAGATTTGGTGTCCAATAATCGCAAAAACTAAAATTCATGCACTAAAAGTAAAGGGATTTCTTAAACTTTAAGACAATGATAGAAATTTATATTTTATCTTACATAAATAATAAATTATGTTAAATCAAATAAATTTATTTCTGATAAATCTAATAAATCTAATTCAGTTACATTTACATTTGTAAAAATTGAATTTTTAGATGCTGTTGATTGTTGAGAGTGAGACTTTGCAAAAAAAAGGTGGAGATAAGTGCAATCAGTGGCAATATATTATAATTATATGCCTTTCATTTTTATTAGTTATCCCAGTAACATCTGGTCATATAATAGGCCAATTCTAGTATGAGACGTTAATTTAAAAAAATTAAATAATAATTAATATAGGTAATATTTTAAATTATATTAAATATGACTATGGGGCTAAGGCTAAGGCCTGCGTAGGCCTACATATTAATCAATAGCTAAAGAATTAAAAATTAAATTATTTAAATGGAGTTGAGTAAATTAAGTAGGAGTAATTAAACTTATTTAAATTTAAGTAAGACTAAGAATGAACTTACTAAGAAGACTTTTTCATTTCATTTTTAACTTGACTTAACCTAAAGATTAGCTTATGATTAACATTAATAAGTATTACTATGACTAATGTCCAAGTTAAAAGTAAGTATAATTTTGTATAATCATTATACATAATGTCCTGTCGAAAAAAGTTGAATTTAATTACATAATTGATTGAATGAATGAATGGGAAGAAAAATAAACAAATATATTTTTCAAATGTCAAATTTGTTCTGAAACTGAAACGTTAAAGTTAAAAGTAGCCTCTTATTAATCATGTTATTTTTTAAGACTTCATTATTACCTCAACAGAGCTCGAATAGGCATTTTTCTGATTTAATTTATTTAATCAGCATAGTATCCATTCGGCTTGCTAATTTGAGATATGAAAAATCGAAAACTGAAGATAAATCTTCGCTCTCTAAATTGTAAACAAAAACGAAGGTTATTTATTTTGTTACGCTAATTGCCATTCGTACGTTTTATGCTTTTATTACCGAGATATAATATTAATAGTTAAATCAACATTTATTCCAAGTAAAAAGGAGTAAAAGTTATTAAAGATTTGGTATTAATTAGTTAAATAATGTCTATTATTTTTCACCCTCTGTTAAAATTTAGGCTACTTGCGTAATTATAATTATTTTATTTTCAAAAAAGTAATTTTTAAAGTTGTTTCTTTACTTTACTATGGTAACTGAGGTATATGGCTAAAATATTGGGAAACACAAATTGATTAACTCTTAGGTGACATCTTAAAAAATAGACCTATAAAAAATTGAGATTCAGAAAATATTTGATTACATTGGTCGTGGTTCCCACACTGTCCTTTAAATATGTGTGGAGTTTTCATATCACCATGAATATAAGGGCCTGGACAAAATCTCCCCCTCCCGCCCCCCCCCCAGTTCCCCAATTTTTTATAAAAAATTTTTGCATCCCAGCCGCAACACAAAATTTTGCGGAAAAAAGGCTTCATCGCTAATAATATTTAAATTTGAAAGCACTCTATTCATCCACGAGATCAAATTTTAAAAATGTTTAACTACATTTTTCTAAAGTAAACCAATATTTAGATGATAGAAAAGTAGAGAAATAAATATGCAAATAATACGCCACTGGAGCCTAATAATCCCCATTTTGGTCACGCCTTTCTTCATACTATCTCTACTTTTCTAAAAAGAATTTTTAATTTAATTTTTATATAATATAAAAGAGCTCCTCTACTGTTTTGGTGTAATGGTGTAGAGCAATCAATTAGTACAATTATTAGTACAAAAGTGAAGGTTCCCAATATGATTTTACAGATTTTGACGTGGTTCGTACAAACCAGACTCGCTTCTGTCCTTATGAAATCAGGTAAAGTGTGTTTTACTGTTTTTGGTTAGTATTAGGGCTTAAAATAAAAATACTATAAAAGTGGATCAATAAAAACTTGAATTTGAATGTTGGCTCTACTCTCACTTCTACCTCTACTACTACTACTACTAGTACTAGACTCTATTACTAAGCCGAAATTTTCAATTAATTTGTATAAAAATTCAGCTTACACGTTTCAAAAGGAAGGAAAAAAGAAACTCATCCTTCTTCTTCTTATATTTGAGGTGCCCACGATCAATTTGTTGATCATTCTGGCTCCTGGTTTAAATTCAGAGTTTCCCGTCCAAGGCTAGCGAGTCCCACCCACCCGGGTTGCTTGGGATGGATTTGGGGGGGGGGGGGATTGAACTCTAGACCACCAGCTATTTCGTTTGAGACAGTTTAGACCGCTCGGCCAACCAGCCACCCATCCTGCCGCCCGATACCCCAAGACTAAAACTCAACACGGGTGAAAAAAACTACGCCCGCCCTAATTGCTGTATTCGGATTCGAAGTGGCTATAGGTACCCGAGTACCCATCGTCGCTAATGACTATTCGCACCCGAAAGTCTTAGTAATCGAAAAAAAACATGATCCGAACGAGAGGCTTAATAGTCGACAAGTTTGACGCGCTTTCTTGATATGAATGGAGGTTGGCAGCATTTGTGACACCTATGCGTCTTTTGAATTGAATTATTTTTGTAAAGAATACAATGTGTGTTTCACTAAAAGATCTTCAGAGAAGATGAAAGATCCCAATTTGGAACAGCTTAAATATGAATATATAATTCACTGTTGCAAACAAGGAGTTAAACGCAAGTTAAAGTCTTCAACGACAACTGACAACAGGCCAGAGAAAATCACAAGCGACAAGCGTAAGTAATAAAGTAATAATAATAGGTTAACTTTAAATTTAGTTGGTCTTGTCATGTAATAATTCTTTCTCCAAGCCAATGATTATTACCACGGTAAATGTAGAGGACGAATGCCACTATTTTATCGATGGTCGCGACTAATGTATCCTTAAATCGATCCTATGCCTAACCGTTCACCTGAACCCTAAATCGACCCCTCAGCCTAATCAAACCCTAATTCACTGCAGCTATAATAAAGAAGCAAATGACGCCGTGGCATTCGTGCTCTACATTAGCCTTTACCACTTTTGGCAATTTGTTGAGAATTTTTATATTTTTCAGTTCTTTCAAATTGGGATGCCAGGCAAAGATAAAGCTTGTTGCCAAGAGAAATCCATCTCGGCTAGAAATTACCAAATCAATGCATGAACATGCTGGCCATGAAGTATCAAAAGAAGTAAGTGCATGTGCAGCGAAAAATATTTACATAATAATAATAAATAGCATATTCTTGTGGCAGGTTGTTGTCACCTACGCCTACAGGTACTCTAGTACTAAAGAGCTAGAGATGGATGCATTTTAAAAGAATGTTTTGTACCATTCATTAACCCATTCAATCTAGGGCGCTCAGAAATTTTATCATTGAAAACTTTAGGTTAATGTTAGGGTTACCACCCTTACCATAGAAAGGTTTTGAAAAAAATTAAGACGAATCTATTTTACTTACAGTATAATTAAATTTCATAAATTCTAAATAGTCCAAACAGAGTTTTATATCTTAATTGTGATTATTGTGACATAAAAATAAACTTAAAACATTTATCCCCAAGGTGAAGGTTAGTTATTTTTATGTACACCGGGTTGAGCCCAGCCCTAGGCTGGGGTATGCTGCGCTATATAAGACCAATGTTCCCTCTAAGGTTTGTTGGTTTGTGTGCAAAATCATACAGTTATGTGCAAAGTTTTACAGCATCATTTTTTTTGTGTGCAAAATTTTACAGTCCAGAAACACAAACACACACAGGGAAATTTGCTGCGGGGATACTCTAAACTGCTGCACGGCATCTGTGAGATAGCTGCGGCCGCGCAGCTTAAAGGGAACATTGTATAAGACCTCTAATAATAATAATGTTTGCAGGACATATTTTTTTACATAATACTTATTATTGAAAAGTAACCTTTGTGTGTTTTTTTTCCAGATGTGCCGCTTGTATCCGGAAAACCGCAAGGTGAAACTAAAAGCGGCAACGCATCTGTTGATGTCCTGCACCACGATTCAGGCATCTGAGGCCCGGCGAGTGCTTGAACAATAGCATGATGTGGATTTGCTTCCCAGGGATATTTACAATATTAAATCAAGAATAAATAAATCATCTTCTGATGCAACTGAAACTCAATCTATACTTCATTCTATATCACAAGCTGGTGGAAGTGTGTCCTATATGGACTAACAGAAATTGGGGAATTTAAGTATTTATCATACATGACTCATGATATGATTAGAATTATTGCCCAATATCCAGAGGTTTTATTAATGGATTTCACATATAAAACCAATAAATATTTATATCCACTTTTGACTGCAATGGTTATTGATGGAGAGGGCAGGGGCATTCCTGTTCTTCATAGTTTTGTAAAAAATGAAGATAAGGAATCTGTTTCTCTTTGTTTGCAGCTTCTTCTGAAGAATTCTGATGCCAGTCTTTTCAAGTACTTTGGGGTTGACAAAGACATGGCTGAAATCTCTGCTATAAATAATCTGTTTCCAAATGTACCTGTTAATCTATGTCATTTTCACATTAACCAGGCTGTGCACAGGTTTCTTTCGAAACATGTAGGTCCTGAGCATGTTAAGCCAATTCTTGAAGGATTTATGTCCCAAGTTTATACTGAGTCGTGTGATGAATTTTTAATGTTGATGCAAGACATGAAAGATGCTCTTCCTGATGTAGCTTTGGAGTATTTTGAGTCAAACTGGTGGAGTAAGGCCCGTTTTTTCCAACCGGATCCGGATTTTCTTATGCGAAATCTGCCGGATCTGGATTCCGGAATATTCCGGTTTCTTCCGGATTTTGGTACTATTGGTAGATACTTCGGTAAGTCAAGGTAGACTACTACTTTTTGTGTATGGGAATTCGCAATCGGCGCCAAAAAATCCGAGTTTTTAATTTTCCGATGTGTGTGTCTATTTATTATTAAATTAGTACTTTCGATATATATTTGAGTTCCGTTTTCGGCCTTATAATTAGGTAGACATCTTGGCCTACATTTTAATCAATTTCTTTTTCATTTACAATCAGTCAGCTTTGAGAAAATCCTTGGTAAATATAAGGCAACTTTCATCATTAAAATTAAGTCGAAGGAAAAAATTTGTCACTACCAAATTTTTTTTGCATCTGGGGAATCTATTGATCTACACGTATGCCAATTTTCACAGCGATAAG